ATTTCTCTAGATCTATAAGGTATGTTGATGGTATTTCTATTGGGATTGCATTGAATCTATATAAGAGTTTTGGGAGAATAGCCATCTTCACAATGTTTGGTCTTCCTATCCATGAGCAAGGGATGTCTTTCCATTTTCTGAGATCATCTTCAATTTCCTTTTTCAGTGTATTATAGTTTTCACTGTATAAGTCTTTCACTTCTTTCGTAAGAGTAATTCCTAAATATTTCATTTTTTTGCTTGCTAATGTGAATAGTCCAGTTTCTCTTATTTCCCTCTCTGTGATTTTGTTGTTTGTGTATAGGAATGCTATTGATTTCTGAGTATTGATTTTGTATCCAGCCACATTACTGAATTTATTTATTGTATCTAAGAGTCTTTCAATGGAGTTTAGGGGATCTTCTATGTAGAGTATCATGTCATCTGCAAACAATGATAACTTAACTTCTTCTTTTCCTATCTTTACCCCTTTTATTTCTCTTTCTTGCCTAATTGCTCTGGCTAGTACTTCCAGTACTATGTTAAATAGGAGTGGTGATAAAGGACATCCTTGTCTTGTGCCTGATTTTAAAGTAAAGGCTTTCAATTTTTGGCCATTTAGTATGATGCTGGCTGTTGGTTTGTCATAAATGGCCTTTATTATATTGAGGTAAAGACCATCTATTCCAATTTTCTGTAAAGTTTTTATCATGAATAAATGTTGGACCTTATCGAAGGCTTTTTCTGCATCTATAGAAATGATCATGTGATTCTTATTTTTGGCTTTATTGATATGGTGGATTACATTTATTGATTTGCGTATGTTGAAACATCCTTGCATTCCTGGGATGAATCCCACTTGGTCATGGTGTATAATCTTCTTGATGATTTGCTGCATCCTATTTGCCAATATTTTATTGAGGATTTTTGCATCTGTGTTCATTAGGGAGATCGGTCTATAGTTGTCTTTTTTAGTTGGGTCTTTCTCAGGTTTTGGTACTAGAGTAATATTTGCTTCCAGGAATGACTTAGGAAGGATTGCTTCCCTTTCAATTTCATTGAATAGTTTGAGGAGTGTCGGCATTAGGTCTTCTTTGTATTTCTTGTAGAATTCTGCAGTGAATCCATCTGGGCCTGGGCTCTTCTTGGTGGGTAAGGACTTAATTACATTTTCAATTTCAGTAACAGAGATTGGGTTATTCAACAGTTTTACATCCTCTTGATCTAGCTTTGGCACTTCATATGCTTCTAAGAATCTGTCTATTTCTTCTGTGTTATCAAACTTTTGAGAGTAGAGGTTTTCGAAATAGGTGTTGATGATCGTCTGTATTTCTATTGGGTCTGTAGTGATTTCTCCTTTTTCATTTCTTATTGCATGAATTTGAGCTTTTTCTTCCCTTTTTAAAATAAGGTTGGCTAGGGGCTTATCGATTTTATTTATTCTTTCAAAGAACCAACTCTTTGATTCGTTGATTCTTTGGATTGTTTTCTTAGTCTCTATTGCATTGATTTCTGCTCTGATTTTTATAATTTCCTCTCTTCTTTTGGCTTTGGGCTTGACTTGCTCTTCTTTTTCTAGCTGTTTGAGGTGTAGCATCAAGTTATTTATTTGTATTCGTTCTGTTTTCCTGATGTGGGAACTCAGTGCAATAAATTTTCCTCTCAGGACGGCTTTCATTGCATTCCACAGATTCCAGTAAGTTGTACCTGCATTTTCATTTTCTTTTAGGTATTGTTTGATTTCTTCTTTAATTTCTTCTGTGACCCACTGATTACTCAAGAGTGTATTATTCAGTTTCCATGTGTTTGTGGGACTTTTGCAGTATCTTTTATCATTAATTTCTAATTTCAGAGCGCTATGATCCAATAATATGCAAGGGATGATTTCAGCTCTTTTGCACTTGTTTAAATATGTTCTGTGAGCTAATATATGGTCTATTTTAGAAAATGATCCATGTACTGCTGAGAAGAATGTGTATTCTGATGTTGTTGGGTGGAACATTCTGTATATATCTATCAAACCCATTTGTTCACAGGTATGATTCAGTTCTGTTATTTCTTTGCTCATTTTCTGTCTGGTTGATCTGTCCCTTGGTGTCAATGGCGTATTAAGGTCTCCTGTTACAATTGTGTTACTGATAATTTGAGTTTTCATTTCTGTTAATAATTGTTTTATATAACTGGGTGCTCTGGAGTTTGGTGCGTATATATTTAAGATAGTTATCTCTTCCTCTTGGAGTTTTCCCCTTACGAGTATGTAGTGACCTTCTTTATCCTTTATGGTCATTGTTGGTTTAAAGTTCACATTGTCTGCAAACAGAATGGCTACTCCTTCCTTTTTTTGGATTCCTGCTGCATGAAGAATTGTTTTCCATCCTTTGACTTTCAGTCTGTGAGTATCCTTCTGTGTTAGATGGGTTTCCTGTAAACAGCATATGGTTGGATTTTGTTTCTTGATCCATTCTGCTAGTCTGTTTCTTTTGATTGGTGCATTGAGACCATTTACATTAATGGTTATTATTGTTAAATGTTGGTTAATTGTAGGAATGTTATCTCTCTGCTGTTGCATCTTTATCTTTCTGTTCTGTTTAATTATTTGCTTTGCTTAGTGGTTTTTTCCTTTGTGTATCTAAACTGTCTTTCAATATTTTTGCAGGGTTGGTTTGGTGTTCATGAAGTTCTTCAGCTGTTCTTTGTCATGGAAGTATCGTATTTCACCATCTATTTTGAATGATAGTTTTGCAGGATATATCAGTCTAGGTTGGAAATCATTTTGCTTTAGGATCTGGAATACTTCACTCCATGCTCTTCTTGACTTTATCGTTTGTGCTGAGAAGTCTGCTGTGATTCTGATAGGTTTTCCTTTATAAGTGATCTGTCTTTTCTCTCTGACAGCTTTTAATAATCTATTCTTGTGTTGGATTTCTGGGATGGTGATTATTATATGTCTGAGTGTAGTTTTATTTTGGTTATGACTATTTGGAGTTCTATATGCTTCACTGATCCTGATGTCAGTTTCTGATCTCATGCTTGGGAAATTTTCAGCTATTACTTCTCTAAATATCCTCTTGATATCCTTTATGTTGTCTCCTTCTTTTTCATTAATCCCTATCATTCTTATGTTATTCTTCTTTGCATCGTCTTGCAGTTGTTGAATTGTTGTTTCCTGATTCCTTGTTATTTTTAAAAGATCTTTCCTTTCCTGTTCACTAGCTGCAATCCTGTCTTCAAGGTCTGAAATTCTATCTTCACTTTCATTAAGGTGGTTTTTACAACTTTCAGTGGAGTTTTTTATTTCCTGTATATCTCTGTGCATCTGCATTATGTATTCTGTTTGTTTCTTATATTGCTCATCTAGGGATTCTATCTTTTTGTTTAGTTCCTCCAATTTTTTATCTGTGTTTTCTTTAGATATATTTAGAATCTCTTTCATTTCTTTTATCATTTCTTCTTTTATCTGGGAAATTATTTCGAGTTTGAATTTCTTTAAAGCTTCCTGGAGTTGCTTGTCAACTTCAGTAGCTATTGTGTCTGATATATGAGGTGGATGGGATATATTTTCTTCTAAATACACTCCTCCTAGGGTTTCCTGAGATGAGCTGGCGGTTTGAGGTTGTAATTTGGTCTTTCGTTTTGTCATTTTCCTATATTTCTGTGTTTCAAGTGTTATTTGAAAGCTTCCTCAGGATCTGTTGAAAATCCCCTTCTATGTTTGCAGCTACTGAGACTCTGGCACCACGCTACCCCAAGCCATTGGGCCTGCAGAACCAGTGGCCCTCCTCTGCTTGTTCAGAACTCCGCAGTTCCAGACAAGCTGGGCCTCAGGGACACTGTGTGCCCCTTGGAAGCTCCACAGCTCTTCAATCGCAGCCGGGTTAGGGTACTCACCACAGGCCGCAGTGCCTCAGGAGCCTGTGATCCCTCCCTGCTTGCAGAGATATCCACAGTCCTCCAGACAAAGGAAGGGGCTTCTGCAGGCACTCCAGATCCGCCCAGCTCCTCCTCTGCACACCAATGGCTAGGTGCGGCTGGGCTCGGGGGATAGTGTAGGCCCGCCCACCCGTCGGGAGCTCAGCAGACCTCCAAGTGTAGCCAGGATGGGGAGGCGGATGTAGTGGCCTCTAACCCACTGCTCCACTTCACTGCACCCGGAAGCCTGGGGGGTCCGGAACAGTCTGAGATTTGGGCAGAGTGTGCTGGGCACTCACCACAGGCCGAGGTGCCTCAGGAACCTGCGATCCCTCCCTGCTTGCAGAGATATTCAGTCCTCCAGACAAAGGAAGGGGCTTCTGCAGGCACTCCAGATCCGCCCAGCTCCTCCTCTGCACCGGATAGACAGTCTTACCGAGAGATAGGGATAGGTGAGCGAGTTTTTGGAGGTTTCAGTCCACACTCAGTTGGCTCCAAGGCAGGCAGGCATGGCTGGGTCGCAGTTCATGGCGGCTGCAAAAAACTCAGCCCCCTTCTCATTTTGAAGATACTTGTGCCATCATTATTGCTGCTTTCCAAAGCAGCTCTGGGCGTTCTCTTTCACCAGTGTCTTTAGCTGCTGCTGTGGCTCTCGGATTCAAAACGCCTGACCTTTCTCCACTGATTTGCTTGGGGGAAGAGCGGGAAGTGGCCTGGTGCCAGATCCGTGGAGGTGGTGAGGACACGCTTCAATGTTTCACCAGCCTCGCCTCGCCTTTGCAGGGCTCTCGGAAGCAGCTTCGAAGTATTTCTGATGGTGCTTTCTAAAGACATGCATGAAAGAGCACGTCCAGAGCTGCTGCAGAAAGCAGCAGAAACCATGGGATGCGTTTGTTTGCATCGAGGGGAAGATTTCATGGGGAATGGGTGGTGATGTGTCTCTTACTGTAGGAAGTTTTTAATTTAAACGCTATAGATTTTGATGCACACACAGGTACACAAACACACCCAGGGCTACCTCTCCGTCACCCCTCAGCTCTGCACCTGGCCCTACCCTCAGCCAGGAAGGAGCACATCCCCCACCACCTGTGCTGTCCTCTCTTCCTCCACAGGCTGGTTGTGGGTGCCCCACTGGAAACCAATGGTCACCAGAAGACAGGAGACATTTACAAGTGTCCTGTGATCCAGGGCAACTGCACCAAACTCAACCTTGGTAAGTGGCCATCAGCCTTGTGCCTGTCTGGTGCAGAGGGATCCTGCCCATATCCATATCCAGGTATCCACAGGGTGGCACAGCTGATGTCCCCCCCCCATTTTACAGATGAGAAAATCGAGGCCACAGAGAGGCAGCAACTTGCCCGTAGCTGTATAATTTTCCAGGCAGCAGCCAGGGTTCCCAGCCAAGTCTCCAGGGTGCCCAGTTTGACTCTACCTCCAATTAATGTGGAGAGAAAAATCCTCTCCCGGTTTCCACCTGATTGGGAACCAGAACAGCAGCAGCTGACCTGGTTGTTTTGTAGACAGTGTCCACCCCAAGCCCGGTGCCAGTTAAGGGCTCCCAACCACTGGATCACACGATACCTACTCGTATGCCAGGCATGGAGGTGCTAACCTGCAAGCCCCGTTCTCAGGACATTGAGGGAGGAGGGTCTCGGCAAGCTCGAGGCCAGCCTGGGCCTCCCTGGGCCCAGCATGTGGCCGCCAGCTGTGGGTCTCGTGGGTGGGGAGGTCGAGCCAGCGCTGTGGGGCCCAGGCTTCACTGAGCAGAGCGTGCAGAGCAGGATCCTGGCCAGGGCTCCTCGCCCTGCTGCCTGGTCTCTTTGCTGTGTGTGTCCAGGCCCCACTCGCCACCCCCTCTAGCTGGGCCTTGCACATGTGTGGAGTGATGGGACCCTTTGGTCCCAGAGTGCTGTGGGAATGCTCAGAGAGCAGGAGCCACGGCTGTGCTAGGAGGGGACAGTAGTGAGGAGACAAATTACAAAACGGGTTCATGGCAGGTGGGGATAAATGCTGAGACAGAAGCCAGGCAGCTGGGGGTACAGAGGGAAGGAGTCCTCCCCTGGCCCAGTGGCCAGGAAAGACTAACTGGGCAGGTAGCAAATACCTGCAAATGCCTGCTGTGGAGGAGGCTGGTGGTGCAGAGCATCTGCAAAGACCCTGACGTAGGACCAAGTTTGCTCTATTGGGGAACATGGATAAGGGCACTGTGGTTGATATAGGAGTGCGAGTGGCAGGCGCTGCGCCCAGGGTTCAGGCCAGTCCTGGAGGGGCATGGACACAGAAACAAACATTCAGTTTCCCCTGTTGCCCAGCTTTCAGCACAGAACCCATTTCCACAGAGGGGGACAAGACCTGAAACTCCAGGCAGCATTTCTAAGCTGGGACAGAGGCCCAGGCCACAGCATACAGTAGAAAACCAAGTGGGAAGCCCAGGGCTGGGCGTGCCGAGGGCCTTCCCAGGGCTGAGCAGCACTGCCCAGGACTCCTCCTCTCTCCAGAGAAAGCTAAGACGGTGTCCATCATTCATACCCTAGGCTGAAGGAGTCCACCACTGTGGCCTTCTCCCCACCCTGGATGGAGTCAGAGATCTGAGCCCCGGGGAGGGGCTGGGGGAGGCAGTCAGCGCCTCAGGGACGCAGGCCGCAGCTCTCAGCCTCCCCTGGCCTGTCACGCATCCCAGCCACAGGGGGCTGTGCTGGGCTCCAAGAGGAGCCTTACTAAAAACTGAGGGGATCCAGAGAGAGCAACACCAGGCAGCACCCCACTCAGGACCATCCTGTGCCAGTGCCTGCCAAATGCCTGTCCCCAGGGCCCCTGCTGCATGGGCCTGCTCACCTGCACAGTAGATGCGAATCATTTGGGACTGAGACCCCTGGAAGTCACAGTGCATGCACACGCACACTCTCCTGGCAAACTGTACCTTGACAGTGAGACCCCAGAAACTTCAGCTGAGGTCATTCCTCTGTGGCCCCAGTCAGCCCCCTCCCCACTCCAGCCAGCTGCTGACCCTACTTTGCAAATTTCCCTCTTGGTAGCCGAGACACTTCTGGACGGGGCCTTGTCCCTACAGAAGACACTTGTCAAGTTCCCTGCTCTTTGCCTGTGACAGAGAACCCCTCACGTACACGTGCCTATTTGTCTGAGGCCAGAAAGAAAAGGACCAGGAAGAGCAGGAGCCGGGTGTGGTGGCACACGCCTGTAACCCCAGCACTTTGAGGCAGGAGGAAGCCTAGGCAAGTTATCAAGAGAAACAGAAGAGTGCCGGGAATGTAGCCCAGTGCAAAGGCTCGGTCCCCAGTGCCTCCACCATCACAACACTGCAGAAGCCCTGGGTGGGGCCTGTGAGGGGCTGATGGGGAAGGTGGCTTGAGGGAAGCATAGGAAAGTCCTCAGTGAGTGCCATGTTGAGGGGACACCGAGGAAGTGTTGGGGCTCAGTCCAGGGACTGCTGAGGGAAAAGCTGGGGACCAGGTGATGACAAGTTGGCTGCTCACCTTCTCTGAGCCCAGGCTGTCGACTCCCACATGAGGAAGCGACCACGCCCGGGGACACCGTGGGGCTTGGGCTAGGGCGGGCAGGAGGGGCGCACCTGACTCCTCCCTGCACCCCAGGAAGGGTCACCCTGTCCAACGTGTCAGAGCGCAAGGACAACATGCGTCTGGGCCTCAGCCTCGCCACCAACCCCAAGGACAACAGCTTCCTGGTAAGAGCCCGAGGCCTGTGCTTTCGTCTCCACGGCCTTCCCTGTCAGAAGCATGCAGGTCGCAGCAGGGGAGGAGGAGGAGGAGGAGGAGGAGGAGGAGGAGGAGGAGGAAGAGGAGGAGGAGGAGGAGGAGGAGGCGGTGGTGTTGGGGCTGAGGTGGTAGCGACATTCATTCATTCATTCAGCAATCGGCTCCAAGCACCCAAGGCAGCCCTGGGACTCCACTGCCTGTGGAGCTCCAGCCCAGCTGAGACTCTGGTTGGTGGGGAGAGGGGAAGACATGGGTGCGATGTGGGGACAGAGAGACACCAGTGCCCGAGGTGTCTGTGCCTCACACAGTCTGGACGCAGACTCTGCACACAGGAAGGGAACATGGCAGGTATGACAGTCCTGTGCCCGGCCACCTCACTGGAGTGACCCCTACTCCTGCCAATAGGTGCCATTTGGGTTTCAGAACTGGGGACTCGTGGTCCCTAGAGCCAGGTGTGAGGAAGGGTCAGAGAAAACTTGCTCCAGAAAACTTAGTGAGAAATGCCCTCCGCACCAGGCATGGTGGCATATGTCTATAATCGCAGCCCTCTGGGAGGCTGAGGCAGGAGGACTGTTATGTTTGAGCCCAGCCTGGACAATGTAACAACTTCCTGAGACTCTGTCTCAAAAAAAAATGGGGGATTCAGTGTAAAGGACCTGGGTTCCAGTCCCAGTACAGCAAAGAGCAAGAACAGCACCCCTCGCTTCTAGGCTCTTGTCCATCAGTTGGGTTCTGCTGGCGGATGTGACATCTGCGGGGTGGGGCGCCAAAGGCCAGGACCGTGAGATGGCTGACGTCTTGGAGCTTGAGAGAATGGCAGCCCCACCAGGGAAAGTTATGAGTCGCCTCCACACGGACGCAGGCCCCTCCCCTTCGTCATCCCAAGGACAAAGCAGGACCCTGGCCCTGTCCACGCATATGCCCATCAGGGCTGGGTCCCCATGCCCTCTCCCTCTGAGGCTCCTGGGCACTGTCCTGATAACTTGGTTTCACCTAGTTCACAGGTGGCATGGGGGTTGCGGGGGGCCCTCCGCATGGGTCTCTGCTTATGAATAGCAACGTTTGGCCAGCTCCTTCACTCACCCTCTCTTTAGTTCCATTCCCTCACCAATCACCCCTCCCTGTGTCCGTCCATGCACCTCCCCGCTACCATCAGTCAGACCACCCTCAAGTCTCCCACTCCGCAACTGCCTCCACTCCTGCCTGTCTATTCACCCACCCCATTCTGCCGTTTTCCATTCATTCCTTTCCTTCCATCCATTCATCACCCATCTCCCATCAGTCTCCTCCTTCCCCTCCATTCATCGTCTGTCCATTCATCTACCCAGCCGCCAAGCCGTCACTCCTCTCCCATCCAGGAACCCGTCTGTGCCCCAATCTATCTCCCATTCACTTCCCATCCAGCCACCTTCCACGCCTGCCTTCCCACCCTTCCTCTGTTCACCTGCCTACCAGCAAACCACCCACCTCCCATGCGGCCTTCTCCCCTTCCACGCCTGCCTTCCCTTCCATCCACCTACCGTCTGTCCACACATCAGACCACTCACTGCTCTTCCATCCGGTCATCTCCCCCGCAGTCATCTCTCCACCTACTCATGCCTTCCATTCATCCATCCATCGTCATTCACCCATTCACCTGTCCGTCTACCCACTCATCGTCCACAATGCCTCCATCTGTCCACCTACACATCAGCGCCTAGCGCTCCACTCACTCAAGTTCGAGGCCAGCCTGGGCTACATAGTGAGTCCACACCAGCCTGAATTAGCCCAGGGGTTCTGACGGCAGGACAGACAGATAGGTGTGGACCTGGGCTTTTGCTTCTAATCCCCTGCCTTGGAGACAAACCCGTCACCCAGTCCTTCAAGGGGGGCCGGACAACAGCCAGCTTGGTAGCTGATGTCACAGACAGGGGACATTCTCTTTCTCTCTCTGTCTCTGTCTCTGTCTCTGTCTCTGTCTCTGTCTAGTAAGAGCCCATGCACATTGTTGGGCCCCATTCGGGAAGTCTGCCCAGGTGACCTCTGCAGACCGCAGAGCTTGTCAGCCACCCGACAGGGATGACCCAGACCCCATGGGACGAGTGAGCAGAGGAAGTCACAGCCTAAAGCACAAGACAGGGGGATTCCAAGACACTGTTGTCCCCATCCTACCTGGGACCAAGAGACCAATGCACACTGCAGGACATGGCACGGACCCTGTCCCCATGCCCCCAGCACTCCATGGAGTCTACCGTAGCCATGCAGGTGGGGGCTGGGCCCCGGCCACTAGCCCTGGCCCTCTGTGCTTCCCAGGCCTGCAGCCCACTCTGGTCTCACGAGTGCGGAAGCTCCTACTACACCACGGGGATGTGCTCACGAGTCAACGCCAACTTCCGGTTCTCCAAGACCGTGGCCCCAGCCCTCCAGAGTAAGTAGCTTCGGCCCTGCAGACCCAGCATGCGCGGGGACAGTCCGGAGGCTCGGGCTCTGACCACGGCTGTTCTGTGATCTCCAGGCAGCCCTGCTGCAGCCCTCTGGATAATGGGGGGCGGGGGGTCACTGCACCTGCCTGCGCCTCTCCCAAATGACCAAGGGGAACAGCAATGGCCTTAGTAATCCTTATCCCAGTTCAGTGCTCCAGGGCCTTAGGGAGGTCAGCCCAGCAAGGTGGGAACACATCTTCCCACCCCCCACCGCCGCCACCCCAAAAAAACCTGGGGAGCTGGTGTTAGGCTTTGCCTCAGGAAAGCCCAGACTTTTGGCCCTGAGCCTTACTTTTTCCTCTGGGCTGAGGACCCTCACCCCAGCAGCTGCGGCTGCTTTATAGCAGGCCTCTGGCCGCCTGCAGCCTTGCTACAAACAGTGGCTCAGTCACCAGGCCTACAAGGGCTGGAAGATGGGGGAGGGCCAGGCTGGCGCCCAGGCGAGGTCAGGCTACCTGGGTGTCCACTAGGGGGCGTCACATCCCACGAGCTGCTGCCCACGGGGGCCGAGGTGTCAGCACGCCAGCCTCCCTGCACCTCTACAGTGGAGGCCTGCAGACCTGGCTGACCAGCAGCCCTGCCCCCGCACTTAGCATCTGCAGGCTCTAGGGCGCCCCCTGTGGGTCCTAATCCAGCAGGCGTGGGATAGATAGCAGAGTATGTGCGTGTGCGTGTGCGCATGCAAAACCATGTTCCCCAGGGGAGGATTCAACATGGTTTTCTTTTTAATTTTTATTTTTCTGAGTCCGCATTTACAGTGCCTGATTGAGTTCTTCCTGGGGAATTGGCATGTGTGCGTAACACATCGAAATTTTTTTGTCCCATCTCCTCCCCTTCCTCCCACTTCCCTCCATCTCTTTATCTCTCGCCCTTTTGCAAAGGTTCTATTTTTCTGTTTTCAATCTTTCTTTTTTTTTTTTTTTTTTTTGTCTTTTTCGTTTTTACCGGTACCAGGGATCGAACTCACGACTGCCTGCTTGCAAGGCAGGCGCTTATGCCGCTGAGCTAAATCCCCAGCCCCTGTTTTCAATCTTTCATTTTGTGCTTTGTTTATTTTTTGGGTTTCTCGTATAAGAGAAGCCCTGTGATATTTAAGCTCGTGGGTCTGATTTATTTCACTGAGCGTGATGGTCTCATGGTGCATACCATTTTCCTACAAATGACTCGGTTTTCTGTCTTTGTGGCACAGTAGTACTGTAGCGGGTGTAAACACATTTTCTTTGCTCATCTGTCATTAGATGGAAATTTAGCTATTACAAGCTGTGCTGCTGTAGACCTGGGCATGTAATGGGACATCTTTTATATATATATATATTTTTTTTTCTGAACACTATTCATACTCAGCTCTCTTTAGCAAACTCCATACTCAAAAGCAGAATCTTCCCAAGATGTCTTTTTTTAAAACTAAAACTTCAAAACTAAATAATTAAAATTATAAGAAAGAAATCAGTGGTAATGCATTCATTGTAAGAATAAAAATATGGTAAAGATTTAAAAAGAATCCCGGCCACCACCCACAAGAGCTGGGCTTGGTCTGCTCTGCAGCCATTTGTACCCAATAGGACCATGAAAGTGGCAAAGGCCACTTTCTACGAGCTCAGCCCGGCCCGAGGGCCCGGTGCCCACACACTGCACCCAGACTGCAGGTAACAAGGAGTGAGCCTCCAGGAAACGCAAATGCACCATGCCCCAGAGAACACAGAGCCCGTTGGGCCCCAGGGCTCTGGGCCATCCAACCCACTGGGCCCAGCTGCACAGAGCCAGGCAGTGTGGCCTTCATAGCACAAGGGCAGCAAGAGTAGCCAGGCACAGAGCACCGATGTAAGGGAGACCTTTACAACAGTGTGAAAATTCACCAGTAAAAGTAAGCACATGCCCAGCTATAAAATGTACATAGCCCAGCTGTTGACAAAGATGGCTTAGATTTTTAAGAGGTTTTTCTTTTTTACATTTGTTACATGGCCCATGTTCACTTATTTTCCTTGTTGATTTTTATGACTCCTTCCAATCTGGTATTAATATTGTAAGAATATAAAAGAAGTTCTTAATTCAGAGGCAGAGATAAAGGCCCAGAGTGTGATCACATGATGTCACAGCTGTGTTAACTCAGTGCTTTCTTATAAAAGATGGAACATTAGCATCAGCTAAGAGGTTCTGGGCCCTTGCTTTGTGCTCAGCTGTGGAATTATGTTCTTCCTAACTCTTCCTGCTTGCCAAGATGCCTCTCTGACAGCAGAAAAAACTGGGGCTGAGATATTGAGTGACTCCCCCAGGTCACAAAGCCAGGGAGCAGCAAGGCCAGGTCTAATGTCAAATCCATGTCTGGGCCCAGACACCATGCCTCTGTGCTAAAAACTGAAATCTACCCATTCAGGCTGCAAAGGAAAGCAGAGAGGACCTGGACCTGGCTCGGGCAGGGACCCTCGGCAGGGTCAGTCTCTGATCCAGAGCGGAGGTGTTAGAGCTTCAGAAAACTTTGTTAAAATAGTTCACAGAGCAGCAGGACCCAGCCAGGCTCTCCCAGCTCCTCACTCACTGTGACCTAAATGTCCAGCCTGAGGATGGCTCCCGGCATGGGGAATCACACGCGCACACACCATTAGGTCATTCTTCCACCATCCTGTGAAAATGACGGAAACTCGTAGGCTGACAGACCGTGGCTCCTTGGATGGCCATGATCACGTCCCTCCCTCCCAGGGTGCCAGACCTACATGGACATCGTCATTGTCCTGGATGGCTCCAACAGCATCTACCCCTGGGTGGAGGTCCAGCACTTCCTCATCAACATCCTGAAGAAGTTCTACATCGGCCCAGGGCAGATCCAGGTGAGCGGTCGGCACGGCCTCAGCGCAGAACCCCTGATCCATGTCCTTGGCTGTGTTGGGGTGTCGGGAGGCGTCTTTCATGCTTAGGGGAGTACAGGTGAAAGGCTGAGGCCCCAGAGTACCTGTCCCTGGCAGGTACCTCAGGGCATGGTTTGGGGAGGTCCCATTTCCCAGGTGAGTCACTTTACAATGTCACTCTAAGACATGCCTAACAAGCCAGGCTATTAAATGGCAGTGGAGCTTGTGATGAAGTGATGGGTTCTTTTAGGGTCCTGGGGAGATCCCCAGTATTTGAACAATACTTGCCCCAAGGGAACTCCATAGGCCCACTCAACAGTAACATTTTATTGTTGGATTGCTACCACAGGTCATTAATGGTTTTTTGTTGACTAGAAAGATGTAATATTGTCAGCCTTGGGGACAGGAGAACCTCTTCACCAAGACCCTTCACCCACACCGCTCCTGATATTTTGAACTTCCATGCTCTACTCAATAAGCCACATAATCTATAGGGCCTTCCCCTAAATTCCAGTCTCCTTTCTCTGTATGTAACCCCCTCGCCCATATCCCACAGAGCTATTCATTTATTCCAGAACTTTCCAGAACCTTCTTCCTTGGGCTCTACTTACTTCTTGGAAAAGACGAATCCTCACTCCTGAACTGCCCCAGGCAGAGGTCTAAGTTTCAGGAAGGAGGACGTTCTTTCACCTTCTCCTCTGCCTTTCAGGTTGGAGTTGTGCAGTATGGAGAAGATGTGGTCCACGAGTTTCACCTCAATGACTACAGGTCTGTCAAGGATGTGGTAGAAGCTGCCAGTCACATAGAGCAGAGAGGAGGAACTGAGACCCGGACAGCATTTGGCATTGAATTTGCTCGGTAAAAAAAGAGATCTCGGATACTGTTTTAGATCTTGTTGCTGTGTGACAAATTACACAAAATGTAGTGTCATAAAACGGTATTTTATTCCTCAGAGTTCTAGGGGGTGACTGGACCCGGCCATCAGGCCTCTCTTGGGTTCTCTCCTGTGGCATCAGTCTGGGTCGCCTAGGGGTGGTGTCACTTGAAGGCTCCAAGATGGCACACTCACATGACATGGCCATGTGGCTTGTCTTGCTCATTATGACACCTGAAGGGCATTGTCCCAAGAGCAAGCTTCCCTAGAGACTGAGGCAGGACTTGGGAGGCTGCCTGTGCCCTAGCCTAGGAGTCCCAGCCTGTGTCTTCCGTCAATCCTATTGGTGGAGCAAGTTCCCAAGGCCAAGGCAGGTTTGGCGTGGAGAGAATTTGTGCCTTTTGATGGCAGAACCACAAGGTCACCTTGCAAAAGGGAATCCGGAAGATATTGCAGCCCACTTCGGAAAACACATTCTGCTGCAGATTGCACTGTAAAAGCACAGGGCAGACCTCTCTGGGGAAAAAACAGGGAGACTGAAGTCCGAAACTGCAGAGTCACACAAATTCCTGAGATTCACACCAAACCCATGCGGCTGAGCGTGACCTCCAGGTACTGTCCACCCTGAAGGCCTCGTGCTTATTCCTGTAATGCTGTCGCTGCCTACAACACCCCAGAGACCCACCCCAGAGAAATGAATCAAACTCCAAGGAAATTCCCCAAGATCTCTCCAGCCAAGGCCCAGACTCTTAAGTCAGCTATGCCAAAGGCATTCACATCTTAAACATCTAAACTTCACATGCATGCGTGCAAGCTCTTCTGGTGACAGCAGAGCCCTTACCTTATCGACCCCCTCGTGGAGGGTTAGTTGATCTGTTCAACAAAATTCCACCATCTAAGAACAGCTTAGCTGTATCGTGATGTCATGTGGTCAAGAGATTAAGATGGTTCCAACCCCACAACTTTTATGATTCAGTTGCTGCTTGGCTAGTGCATTGCTGTTTGCTGGTAAAACTCCCTCGAACTCTTCCTAAGCAAGCACCCCCTGTGCAAGGACGGCTCTGTCACATGTCTGCCAAGGAACAGGTCATTATACTATGGGGCCATCACTAGACTCAGACCGAGACCCCAGCTGGCCCTTGTGAAGTGGCTGAGTGACAAAAGAATCTGGGCGCCACCATTATCTCTTTGCCATAGGGAAGCTAGCTGACTCAGCTAGCTGAAGCCCTCTATTTTGGTCTCATTTTGCAGCCACCAGCCTCAGGTGGAGTCCACTTGTGTGACTCGCCTGCTAGTTTAAACCACCCTGGCTTGTGAGCAGTGCTGGAGGTGCAGGTGAAGTTTGACATCCTGACCTCCCAAGTTCACATCCCACAGCTGCCCAGGCTGGCCTTGGACTTTAGTCCTCTGCCTCAGCCTCCCAGAGTGCCAGAATCATAGGCTGGTGCCACGACTCCCAGCTCTGCTGGTGTGTTTTAAGGTGAAAGGTTTTCTCTCCTCTCTTGTTAATCAAGATGAGTTTTATCCATTTTTCCTCCTCCCTGTGGGCCTACTAAGAGGCAAAGATCCAGGCCACAGGTCTGGCTGGTTACAAAGATGGTGACCTGTGGCCTTGGCCGTGGCAGCCCTACCAGAGGAGCGCTCAGAGCAGTTAGCCCTGATCCTAACTCAGTGAGGATTCTCAAGCAGGTGCCCGGAGAGCTCAGCCTCCCCTGCAACAAGTGGAGCCAGGCAGGTGCCAAGCAGAGCAAGAGTGACAAGGTGATGCACGCTAAAACTCCAGGGCTGTCATTTCCAGCTTGGTGAACACAAAGCTCTCGCTCTCCTCAAGGGCTTGATCACCTCATGTATGAAGGAGCAAAGTGGAGTCCCTTTGCCCAACACCAAATCCCAACTGAAAACCTGCTAACCCCACCTGCTGTTACACTGTGCAGACGAGTAAGACACTCACAGGGTCCTGCTCTTGGGAAATTTTCCTTCACTCCATGACATCTGTCTTTCCCCTGCCATATCTCTTCCTGTGTGGTGGTTTGTTGCTGGGCCTGACCCTTCAGAGAGGTCACGAAAGTGACCAGAAACTGGGTCGTGCTGAAGCCTGGAATCTCTCCTCACAAGTGAGCTCTTCAGCCCTTGGGCCACAGCTCAGACTAAAATTAGAGTGGATTTTCAAGTGCACACATCCGGGATATCAGGAGAGTGGCTGAGTCAATGGCAGATGGCTTTTCCTCTCAGCTGGTGGCATGAGGAACTTATCCCAGGTCTCACAAATCCCTCGACATCCAAGTCAGACCCCAGAACAAGAGGTACCTCTGCCCCTAGGCCTCTGATCCTACAGAACTCAAGTCCTCCCACCTCCATGTGGGTCAGACCCACGAGCAGTCACCCTGCAATCCAGCTGCCAGGCCCGGCTGGTGGGCAAGAGCACACCAGTCATCCCCTGAGCCCAAGTCCCAGGAGCCCTGACCACCTCAAGAAAAGAGCCAGCACCAGCCCTCAGGGCTCCTTTGCCAGATCAGGTATGACTGGGCCCACCCTGCGTGCCCTGGGCTTGGTGGCTCAAGAGACAGACCATACGCAGGTTCTGGGCAGTGAAAACACAGTAAAAAGTAAGGGAAGTATTTTCTACCAAGCTGACATGGAGAACTCCCCCAGACGGAATCCGAGCAGTCCCAGCAAGAGAGGCCAGTGCTGTCACCCTTCCTGACACACAGCTGTTGGCCTGTCACCTGCCTGCTCCTGAGCAAATGGTGTGCAGCTTCTGAAAGGAGGCCGACACCCCTGGAGTCTGAGCTCAATTTTTTTTTTTAAAAGAGTAGAGCCCAAGAGGCCCTAATGTACAGCTAGAGTCCGGAGGTGCCAACTTAGCTGCCCAAAAGGCCATTACCTGCCTTCGAACCTCCTTCCCATGTCCTCCTTGCCCCCTCTCCAAAACGGCAACATCAGGGCTCCACAGGGGCTCTGTAAAGTCACTGTAAAATTTGCAGAAACCGGGCATGGTGGCACAAGACTCTTATCCCGGCCCTCAGGAGGCTGGAGCAGGAGGATCACCATAATGTCAATGCCAGCCTGAACTACATAGGAAGACGTAGCCTCAAAAACCCAAAATAAAACATGCAGATCCAAGCCCCACCCGAGCAGCTGGGAAAGCACAACCTGGCTGTCACCACTACTTCAGCTTGAACCTGAGCTCCCAAGGTGTTCGCCCATCCTGGCTTCTGGGGCTCTCCTGTCCTCACCCCCCACCCGTGACCCACTTCTGCTTTGGGTTCTAGCTCCGAGGCCTTTCAGAAAGGCGGCAGGAAAGGTGCCAAGAAGGTGATGATTGTCATCACGGATGGGGAGTCCCATGACAGCCCCGACCTGGAGAGGGTGATCCAGCAGAGCGAGAGGGACAACGTGACGAGATATGCGGTGGCTGTAAGTCCTGCCCGGCCCCCACCCCGCACCCACAGCTGCTGGCTGCTCTTGGGGGCTTGGCTAGCGCAGCTCTGGGATGAGGTTAGCGTGGGTCAGACCCGGCTGTGAAAGTCGTGGGCTTGTCTTTTCCTTCCTTGGCCAGGACGTTTCTGAAAAAGCTGGAAAACACCCCCAGGCCTCACAGTTCCCCAAAGCCCAGGGGCCCTGTGCTGCCCCTGCAGGAGGATCTGCTGCAGGCTGCAAAGGGGCACCTGGGGGGACAGGGGTCTCGGGGTACATGTGTAGGGCAGGAAGGCTGTGTCATGTCCTGCTGTGCCGTCCCTGCCCCTGTTTCCTGGCAGGTCCTGGGCTACTACAACCGTAGGGGCATCAACCCAGAAACTTTTCTAAATGAAATCAAATACATCGCCAGCGACCCGGATGACAAGCACTTCTTCAATGTCACCGATGAGGCAGCCCTGAAGGACATCGTGGATGCCCTGGGGGAAAGGATCTTCAGCCTAGAAGGTGAGCCTTGTGGGCCAAAAGGGGCTTCACGTTCCCAGCTTATCACAGACAGCTGCCACGGGAAGACCCAAGCCTGAAAACCGGAAAGGTCCCCACTTCATCAAAATGCCAGAAGCTGAGTGTCACTGCTTCTGTAGAGGCAAGGCTGTAGGCTTCATGAACAGCCCCAGAAGGTGGTGGCACTGGTTGGCTCTACACTCTACGGTGCAGGGGGCTGGGCCACCATGCCCGGAAAATGGTAGGGTTTGAAACAGAGCCACCAGATTCGGCAAATGTAAAATACAGTGCTTGTTACCAGGGTATGGTGGCGCACATCTGTGAGCCCAGCACCCAGGAGGCTGAGGCAAGAGGACTGCCACAAGTTCAAGGTCAGCTTGGGCTACACAGTGAATTCAAGGCCAGCCTAACTGCAGAGCAAAATCCTGTCTAAAACAGAAAAAAAAAAAAAAAAACTGCTTGTGACAGATTTATACTAAAATATTAGGCATTGTGCATCTGAAGTTCAGATTTCACCAGGCACCCTAGTTTGAGCCTATTTTCTCTAGCAACTGTGGTGTAAGCCCCCCAGCCCTGGTTCATATCCAAGATCACTCAGTTCCCGCGTGTCCTGCTGCTTGCCTCACCCGGCCAGCCTCTGTGGGGTGCCCTCCCATGGCCCTGCTCCCCGGGATTGAAGCCACATTGTGATGTGCCCAGATCTCACGTGCACCAAGCGCTGCAGCCTCAGCTGCCTCTGACCTGGGTGTCAGCATGTGGAGGGTTATAGAGATGCAGGACAGCATCCTGGAGCGCGAGAAGGCTGCCTGCCCAGGAAGTGACACCCAGACAGGGACCAGAGTGGCTCTCGGGTGCCATGATAGCTGAAGACGCAGATCAGCTTTGACACCCACAGGAGAGCTAAAATATCAGACTTACACCTTTCTCCCAAACGGTTACCTTGGGCACCTGCGGAGCTCCCTGGGGGGAACTGTGGGGTGACAGGTCTCCTTCTTGGGGGGTGGGTTGGTATTCAGAGCTCTCTGCAGGCAGCTGGAAGCAGAGCTGCTACGTAAGGAGATGGGCACAGCACAAGTCCCATCTCTCTCCAAAAATGCCCAGTATGCTGTGCGGTTTCTTCATCCCCCCCCCCCTTCAGGAGTGACCCACGGAACCCATTCCCTGTAGCCAGCTCCTCTGGGCCCCTTTCAGAAGTGAGCAGCTACTCACTGTGCTACCTGGAAAGTGCCGGTGACAAGGGCAGGGGATGCTGAGAGCCTGCAGGCCCTAGGCTCAGGGCCCCCTCAAAGGAACCCCCAGGAAGTGGAAGTGGCCCCTAAGATACCCCCAGAAAGCGGAAATTTACACTGAGAGCTACTTGGTGCCGGGCTAACGCACGCTGTCCCTGCATCCCTGTTGTAGGCACCAACAAGAATGAAACCTCCTTTGGGCTAGAGATGTCCCAGACGGGCTTCTCCTCGCATGTGGTGGAGGTAAGGAGCCCGCGCTGCCCTCCCTCTGCCTCTCAAGGGCTTCCCTACCCACCCCAGCACCCGAGGCTGGCATGGTCATCCTGGCAGGACTGTGTCACCTCCTCCTTTGCTCTTTCCTGTGGGCAGAAAGAGGGAAGCACGATCCTCAGCTTATTTATATCATCTCCAGCAGTGACAGAGAGTCATGCTCCCACCCAGGGGGCACCGTGCAGGGTGCTGAGGGGGACATTTCTTTCCAGGACTAGGATGTAGGGCTCTAGGGCTCAGCCCCTCCCCTCCAGTCACTCATCCATCATCTCCCCTGAGAAGTCCTTATTCTGCAAGCACATAGGGTAGGAGTCCTTGTTCCCAGTGTACAGGTAAGTCAAGTCACAGGGAGGTTAAATGAGCTCGTGGAAGAAGATTAGTGAGAAAAGCAAGAGCCCCCACCCTCCTTCTATACCAAGCAGCTGCCCCCTGAGACAACAGGGAGCTTGGGGGTCTGATGCAGAATCCACACTGGAGGGAGGCACACACACTCAGGTTCCCATGCTGTGTCTGGACCTACACACGGGCCAAGGCCTGAGCCCAGCAGGGTGTGCACGCAGCTGCCCCCGTGCAGGAACAGCCCAATGCCTGTGCACAGCCCGTATACTTTTCCAGGCCATCCCTGCACTGTTTCCTGCTCCCAGTCACCCTGGGAGGTCTGTGGGTGGTGACAGTTCCCCAGTTTGAGGTGACTGGACCTGCTAGACTTTCCCACACCTTCTCTGTACTGGGAGCTGTGCTGGGGACAAGAGGAGCAGAGTTGGTGCCCCAGCCCCCAGGAGCACACAGTCCCAGGATGGGGAGCCGGGCACAGGACGGCCAGAGCATCCACGGGCACAAGGTGGGGTGGCAAGTCCTGTGCTCTGGCATGACAAGCCCTGCACCTGCAAGGAGGAAATGCTGTGTGCAACTAAAGCATCAAAAGGAGCTGTGATTCTTGCCACCCAGAGTCCAGATCAGCAGTCCTCGGCTCCAAGAGAAGGCTTGAAGAAAACCTTCCGAAAGCAAAGCTGTGGCGCTGTGGTGGTGAGCTGCCTGGCACTGTGGCCAGCCATCGGGCTTCTGTTTTAGAGCACAGAGGTAGAGGCTATCATGATGGCCATCTCAACCCCAGGTTGAGCCTGGTGCCCCGCTCTCAGAGGCCCTGAGCCAGGGGAAGTCCATGTCCCAGGTGACGCTAAGTTTCCCTCCTTCAGACATAGGCACCAATGGCCTCTGGCAGCTGCTACCTGCAAATGCACTGGAGCCACGAGCTTCCAGAAGAAAATGGTCCCACCCTAAGGGAGGCGCTTCTGTCGAACATTCCTGCAAGCAGAGCAAAGGCCTGGCTTCTCATTGTCTCCTTTCCAGCGAGAACCAGCCTGTGAGCCAGCAAGGAGAAAAGCAGAAAAGAGTACCAGAACCAGTGTGGAGAGGGAAGCCCGGACATCACCTGGCCACTACAGAGCCCAAAGCTGCAGGCCACAGGATGATGACAGAACCACAAGCAGTCACACACTCTAGTCTTGAGGCAGACAAAAGAGCATATTTTCCAAAAATTACCATCAGAAAGGCTAACTGGAGTCCTGGTCAAGCTTTGGGACAGACTTTTAAGCCAACAATTTCGTTAACATTTGGAAACGAATGCAAAAGTCACTAAGAGCAGAAGCAGCTCTAACATGCTGGCTTCCTACAGAGCTGATGAGCTTCCTGTCCAGCTCAGTAATCAAAGGGAGGCTGTATGACTCTGCCAGAAAGCTTGCAGAAAGGAGCCTCCCCTCCAAAATGGAAGTGGATGGAGGGATCTGTAACTCCAGGGTGAAGGAAGGAAGAGCCCTACAAGAAAACAGTGCCCCGGCCATGGATGGGCCATGCAGGAGGCATTACATCAACCCTCCTACCCTGAGGTCCATAAGTCTGCCCCACACCAAGAGTTTACAGAAGGAAGCAGTCATTTTATAAGGGTGGATCTTGCCTACAATAAAACCCTGGCCACCCAGGAAACTGGAGAAATCATTTTTCTCTGTAATGTAAGGGCATGATCTCTCTTGCTGCATGTGATACTCAGGAGGACCATCCTGTGCAGGCTTGGAGAGGGTTAGGGTCAAGGACCTCCCGTGTTCCCCAGCCCAGACCTTCCTGCAGGCCCCGCTCATGGTGTGAACCATCCATCCATTATCAAAGATCCTCGGGTGGCTGAAGCCTTAGCAGTGGGATTTTTCCGTATGAGTTCTGCATCTATTCAATGAAAGAAAGATACTTAGCTGGGCTCAGTGATGCACAGCTGTAATCACAGCTACTCTGGAGGCTGAGGCAGGACGATTCCAAGTTCGAGCCCACCTACCTCCACCTGGCTCCACAGTCTGGTAGAAGCCAAAACAGGTGGGAGGCAGGGCTGCTGGTGTCTTACCTGCCTCTATTGCTGCCCCACTTAACCTCTCTGAACATCAGACTTTGTGATTATGTCCGAGATATAGCTGTGGAAAGAAGGGATATTTTTGTGAGGTTTGTAACTGAAGGTTCATTTCAGGACTTTCCAATAAATCAAGTAGGGTTTTGTCGAAATCCTTTCCTAACTCTGCTATGCATCCACCCCTCCCTCATCCCGGCTGGGAGTGAGCTTGCGCCATAGCGAACCCCAGAGGAGACTTGCCCAGTTGCAGACCTGGGATCTGAAGCATCCCCTCCTGGCCACCAGGACGGAGTCCTGCTGGGTGCTGTGGGTGCCTATGACTGGACCGGGGCTGTGCTGAAGGAAACGAGCGGCGGCAAGGTGATCCCTCTGCGCGAGTCTTACCTGAAGGAGTTCCCCGAGGAGCTCAAGAACCACGGCGCATACTTGGGTGAGGCCTGCAGGGTGTAGGACAGGGTGAGGGGCTGCGGACAGCACGGGGTGCAGGGCTGACTGTGCCCTGCTGCCTGGACACAGGCGGCCCAAGCCATCTCTGCAGCCAGCACCACGCCTGGCACATAAAAGGCTCCTCGTGAACGAGCAGAGCAAGTGACACGTGGTTCCCATTCCATGTGTTTCCATGGGTGTCCTCAGAGCTCCCAGCCCCAGCAGGGTCGCAGCACATAGTCTGGGTCCCTAGGACAGGTGCAAGGCCAGCAGAGAGCTGTACCCCTCCCCATCAATGCCCATGCATGGAGAGACAGCTTGCTCCCCTCCTCGGGCCCTTGCAGGGCCAGCTGAGGACATGGTGCAGGGACCAGCCTGTTTCCTCCTGTGGCAGGGTACACGGTGACGTCGGTCGTGTCCTCCAGGCAGGGGCGGGTGTACGTGGCTGGAGCCCCCCGGTTCAACCACACAGGCAAAATCATCCTGTTCACCATGCACAACAACCGGAGCCTCACCATCCACCAGGCTCTGCGGGGAGAGCAGGTACGGGTGCACGGGTCTCCCCTCGCTGGGAGGACAGTCCCCAGGCCCCAGGTACCATCCCTGAGGGCAGCATCCACTGTGCATAGTGCAGCTGGAGGTGTCTTGGTACAGCATTCGTTACTGCCCTGAAATATCCCCAAGCCTGGAGAACTGGGGGGCAGTTCTCACCCCAGGTCCTGGTCCTCATGCCTTTGGTGCACTGGCTGGACCTCTGCCACTGCTGCCAGCTCCCACTGGCCTTTGCCAGAACGCAAGCTGCAGGCAGCATCTGATTACAATTGCTTCCCCTGGGCTATTGGGAGCCATCACACCTCGGGGCCATCACACTATGCCAGTCACCTTCCTGCTGCCAGAGTTGTATCCACCCACACCAAAGCCCCCAGGGGTCCCCTTTCCCTGTCCCTGGAATGGTGTCAGGGTGGAGAGGGCACACTCGCTCCCTATGCCTCTGCCCACTCTTGCACTGAACACTTTTGAAAAAGCTTTGCTAAAGAAAGGATCAAAGGCCAGGCATGGTGGTGCACATCTATAATCCTTGTGCTCCAGGAGGCTAAGGTAGAAGCACTGGAAGTTTGTGTGCAGCCTGGACAACTTAGTAACTTAGCAAGGCTCTGTCTCAAAAGAAACACAATTTAAAGGGCTGGGGATGCAGCTCAGTGCAAAGGTCCTGGTCTGGTCCCCAGTGCCAACAAAGGAAAGGTTAAAAATCCCTGTAGTGGCCAGGAAATGTTTGGTCCTTAGATGCTGCATGGCCTTTCCAAGGAAGGATCATGGCTGGAGCAAGCGAAGGGTCTGGGCCTGCGCGGGGCTCCCTGGCCCTGTCCCACACCTCGCTCCTCCTGACTGGCCGAGTCTCCAGCACCTCGGGCCCAAGGTGGGCCCTAGCTGCGCCCTGACAGGATCCTATCCACCTGCTGCTCCCAGCTCTCTTGCCCTGCCACCATCACCCACCACCATTAGGACTAGCCCCTCTCAGCAGGACAGATTCCTGCCAGCTGTCCTGCCACTGTCCCCAGGCTCCTCTTCTACCCCTGGGGTTCAGGGCATACCTCCAACCTGCCCACCTGGCTGGCCCTGGCTGGCTCCCTGGAGATAAGAGTCAGAAGACCTTGAGAGCCAGAGGGAATCTGCTGATGAATTTGACATTTTCCCTGTCCAATCCCACCCCCCAACATCTGAACCAGAAACCACAGTGCTAAAGACAGCTCAAGAAAGTAGATTCCAAATCCCTGCGGCCCACTGAGCCCACACATAGATTTAGGCCAGCGTCTCCTCCTCCTCTCATTCCTCTGCCTCTTCATTACTTGATGTGGACCTTCTCTCTTCCTCCACACACCTGGTCTGTATTTTGAGCTTTTAACACTTAAGTGTCGCTTTCACTTGAGTTCTCAGGCCTTAGCCTCCTCCTCTGTAAAATGAGACAGCCAGACTCCGGGGCCAGCTCTGGGCCAGTGTAGACCTAGGGTGCAAGGCCCTGGATTTGGGCTCCAGCATAGAGGAAAAAAAAGAAAACGGGACAATTGCTGTTCCTGTCAGAGGGGCTCCCACGAGTTGAGCCAGGGCCTGTTCACAGGCAGAGGCCTCCCCCTTCCCTGTGCGACCTGAAGACATTGACGGCATCCCTCCCGTGGGCCAGGTGTGGTGCCCAGGTCCCGAGAGGTTCCCAGGCAGGGGCAGATGCTGGAGGGAGGAGCATGGGGAAGCCAGGAACAGCAGAAGGGAAGACCTGAGGGTGGCGGGTGTTGCCTGCAGAGGAAGCTGGGCAGGGGCACTCAGCCCTAGCCAGGACCTGGGCCTTGCAAGGAAGAGGATGATGGGTAGGCAGAGCTGGGCCACAGCACTGGGCGCCAGGGTGGGGCAGAAGCCAGGGAGGGGACCTGCAGGGTCACACTGAGGAATTTAGACTTAGCCCATGTGCAAGCGCATAGTAGGGACGCAGCCTGGCGCCACAGGGTGGACTGGAGACCAAGCAGGGTGCCACATCTAGGAATAGATGGGGCGGTGATGGGGCAGTGGCTGGCGCCCAGCAGGACTTGCTGTAGGCAGGACAGGTGGTAGGAGCTGGAGCCAAGGACCCTCGGTTTGCAATGAGGTGGGGGCAATGCCCACAGCTGGATGGGGAGCCCCACACCCCATGCAGACACATGGTGCTGTTAGCAGCTAGGGCAGAATTGACACTCACCATCCAAGTCACAGACTGGAGAGATCGGTGACAGTAAAGCTTAAAAACCAGCTAAGTGCCCAGGGACGGGAACATGAATGGGTACAGCAGGGCTCGAGCCTAACTTGGAGCCCAAGGAATCCCCCGAGACACCGCTGTAGGGAAAAACAGAGCAGGGAGAAAAGGCTTAGGATGCAGGGCTGTGTTTAACACTCCGCAGCCGCGCTGTGAGCGGAGCACAGTCCCGGCCTAGAACGCTAAAGACAGAGGCTCGCAGATGGGCGGCAGCACAGCGAGCTTGCAGGGCAACGCTCCGACCGGTCAACCGGTCACGGTAGTGATGGCTGAATGCTGGTGCGAGGGGCGACCCCCACTTTCTTCTTAATACTTTGTGGGTATTCTTTTTAGCCCTTACAGTGTATCCATTCCTGCTAGGATGAGTGGCCCAAAACAAAATCCAGTGATGGGAATAAAGGAGAGTAGGGGCAGGGAGAGAAGAGCCAGTGACCACAAGGAGAGGAAGGGACAAGGGCGCACGCAGCAGGAGAGACTGAAGCGAGGACTCACCGGGAGCGCCTGGAAAGGAGGACCCCTGAGTACCCCCACTCCTGAGTCCAGACTGGGATTGGTTTCCCTCCACTGTCTGAGCTGAGGCCCGTCCCACCCCGCCCTGCCCCCTCCCTGTGCCACAGATCGGCTCCTACTTCGGGAGCGAGATCACCTCCGTGGATGTGGATGACGACGGGGTGACCGACGTGCTGCTGGTGGGGGCGCCCATGTACTTCAGCGAGGGCCGCGAGCGGGGCAGGGTGTACGTGTACCAGCTGAGACAGGTACCGGGTGCAGGCCGGGCCGGTTGGCCACCAGGGGGCCTGGTCCCCAACTAGGCGGGGTGGGGCGCACGGAGCCCGGAGCCACCGCCAGGCCGTCCGAGCCCTTCCTTTCCGGCCGTGCGCGCTCTTGCAGAGCCGGTTCGTTTACAACGGGACGCTGCGGGACTCCCACGGGTACCAGAACGCGCGGTTCGGGGCCTGCATCGCCGCAGTCCGGGACCTCAATCAGGACTCCTACAACGACGTAGTGGTGGGCGCCCCGCTGGAGGACGGCCACCAGGGAGCCATCTACGTGTTCCGCGGCGCCCCGGGCGGCATCCTGAAGACGCCGTCGCAGGTGCGGCTCGGGCAGCGGGGCCGGGGACTGGGAGCCGCCGGTGCCCCGTGCTCGTCCCCTCCCCCACCGAGTGCAAAGGGTGAGGCTGCCAGGGGCATCGTCCAGTGCTCCCCTGGCGCCCTCTCGCGGCCGCCTTCGTCTTCCCTATGTCCACCACAAGGGCGAAGCCAGGCCCTAACTCCCTCACCGCTCCCAGCCCTACCCTGGCATCTGTGCCTTTCCTCCATAATATGCACCTTGCGACCTCAAAACCACGCCGTCTCGGGCCTGTCCCCCTCAGGATCGTCGTTTTGCCACATATTTTATGATACACGTACTAAGCTTTGAGATGCTGGTGGGGAAACCTGTTGGTAACATGCTATAGAAACACTTCATGGAGGTTCGGTTTTTTTTGGTTTTTGGTTTTTTTTTGCTTTTTCAGTGTATTTTTTCATTTTTTTAAAAGCGAATCAAGTTACAGTAAAACAGCCCAAAACAAACTGTAAGAATGATATTAGATTTCAAAAACAAGACAGAGAAGATCCCTGTAGTTGCTGTATTGAATATTCTTCTCCTCTAAATAGATGCTCAGACTACCGGCTTTAGCCCTGCAAAGTCAGGCGGACAGTTCAAGCATTAACTTTTTTCTTGCTTCAGCTTCTGACATCTCAGCCTGTGTTCCTCCCAATCAGCCAGCTGCTTACCAGGAAGTAGGGTGGAAGAGCCCACTCTTCTTGTTTCCCAGCCTGTGGGTTGGCTTCTTGATTCTCCTCCCAGCCTGCAGTGGGGGAAGACTCCTGGTGGCTTCAAGCTGGCTGTCCTGGCCTGTCCTGCCATGTCTGTCCTCCAGGCCCGGGCAGCCCCCTGTCCACCCTGACTCACAGACACTGCCTCTGTCCTCTCCCTGCAGAAAATTATAGCTTCCATGCTGGCTCCTGGCCTCCAGTACTTTGGCTGCAGTATCCATGGGCAGCTGGACCTCAATGAGGATGGGCTGGTGGACCTGGCTGTGGGTGCCCTGGGCAGCACTGTGATTCTGTGGTGAGTCCTGTGGGTCTGGACTTGGGTGTCCCCAGGGTCATCACGGGGAGAAGGAACAAAGGATTTGCTTCAGGACTTCCATCCCTTGTCTGACTGCAGGACATCCCCAAGTTATCAGGAAGTCCAGGTCCCTCTTCCAAATGACTTTAGACTGACTCAGTGTGCAGAAGCCCAAGGACTTTGTCTAAAAGCTCTGGCTTCAGGGGCATTCTCTTTTGTGCATGTGTGCTTTTTGAGATAGGGTCTGCTGGGGAGTTCAGGCTGGCCTCACTGAACTCATAGCGATCCTGCTGCCTCAGCCTCCCGAGTTCTGGGATTATAGATGTGCATTTCTTCCACTTGGCTTTTCAAGGACTTCAGGGGGGACACTGGACATCTTTTTCCCAGTTGGGAAGGCCTTTCCCCATCCCCAGGGTGGGATACTGTGTGTGTGATCCAGGGAGCTCTGTTCTCCAAACCTCCTTGAGGCTCCATTACAATGTTTTCTACAAGGCTGTGTATTATGCTTTGGCTACTTTTTGGGGAGAGAGAAGAAAAGTTAATTTAAGCCTTTTCCATATGTGGATGATATACATTTCATTGCAAATATAGTACCTTAGAGAAAATTCGTCATATAACAATAAAGCCACTCCATCTCATCTCCTCCCAACTTTTCTGCCTGCATTTAATTTTCTATAAGTTATAGTAACTTTCTTTTTTTTTATTTAAAGAAAAGGAAACAAAAAAAATACATGGGGATAAAAAAGGGTAGAAATAATACAAAATTACAGAAAAACAAATGGTAAGAAATCGCTGGTTGATAAGTTACATATTGTCATCTTAGAAATAGCTGTTCAGGTTACAAAATTAAAGTATTTAGAATGACCTTCAAAAAGTGACACTACATACAGTTCTGCTCAACGATCGAACAAAAGCTCAGTAATATGGTTATCAGTCCTACACATTTGTTTTACATCTCAAAGAGGGTAAGATTAAACATATCAAAACAGAACAAAACAGTTAAAAAAACAATTTAAAGAAATACAGATTTCAAAGCAAGTCCACTGGAGATCTTCACTGTCTATCTGTCTCTAGTTTCTTACAAATAGTTGTCCCCATCTTCACCCACTTTATATACTTGTTGCATATTATAGAACTAATCAAATCATTATAGGATGATGAAGGCTTTTTAGGTCTTCAAGATCCAACATTAGGGAAGACAATAATAACTACCATCGCATCTCTCATTCTCTTCATGGTAGGCGTCCCCATCTCGACATATGCTGAAATTGAACTCAAGAGACCAGACCGATGTCATTCTAATCAGCGAACAATAGTATTGCTAGAATTTATATTATAATGCTACAAAATTAGCATTGGGTTTCTTAGCGTCTCTTCTTCAGAGTATCTGTTCATTACATCTTACATTATATAATCTGTTCCCGTAAATAATTTTTTTAAAAAAAACTCATGTGTGAGTTTCTACATATATATCTATCCTCTCTGTATTATAGGGAAAACCAAGTCATAATAAGACAGCAAAACAAATTCCTAGAAAAACATGCAATGGATAAGACATATAAGACCACAATATAGGTGATCTTCCGTAGTTACTATGTTTTCTCTTGTTATTTTCAATAGATTTGTCCACAACACCGGCTTAATATAGTTAAACATAGTATTACCTATTTTTATAAAAACACAACTTTGAAAGCATTGTAGGATTTGAGAGCTGTTAATAGTTAATACCAGTATGGATATCCTTTACATCTTGTCATCTTCAGAGTAGTTGCCTCTAATCAGCCAAGGCCAACCCATGGTCTTATGATTCAGATTCAATTAAGATCAGTCATAGTAAGACAATGTAAGTAATACAGGACTTCAGTTTAAGTTAATAGGAAAGTAAGGATAGTTACCATGGTATAACCTGCTATTTTTGGATCAGATGTCTGTGCCCTCAAATCTGACATGAGTGGGCAGACCAGAACAAATTAAATTCAAACTAAATATGGCGATAAGACTACTGTGTCTTTTAAATCCTGATACACTATTAACAATGACCTCTGCCTTTTTTATAGTGTTTCAGAGCTGTCTATACTAAAGACTATAGCTTACCGCCTCTGCCTCATGTCTGCTACTCCACTTTTCTGCTATAATTTGTCCACCTTATTCCCTCATTCCACTGTCTGCCCTGTTCACTGAGGCCTCTCTGCCACTGTTGCTGGAATCCTGGTATCCCTTCCTATCTTTCTCTGGAATATGCTTCAGCACTCTCTGTAGGGTTGGATCGGTGGCCACGAACTCCCACAGTTCTTCCTTGTCTTGGAAGCATCTTCTTTCTCCATTAATTTTGAGAGAGAGTTTTGACAGGTATATGAGCCTTGGTTGCATATTATTTTCTTTCAGGACTTGGAATATTTCTCCCCATTCCCTTCTTGACTTAAGAGTTTGTGTTGATAAGTCTGTTGTTATTTTGATAATTTTCCCGTTGTAGGTAATCTGCTTCTTTTCTCTGGCTGCTTTTAATATTCTGTTCTTTTGGTGGATTTCTGGAATCTTGATTATTATATGTCTAGGCGTAGATCTGTTTTGGTTGTAGGTAGCTGGTGTTCTGTATGCCTCTTTTATCTGGATATCATTTCTTTTTGCTATACATGGGAAATTTTGCTTTAATATATCTGTGAATATTCTTTGTATTTCATTTTTGGTTGCTCCTGCTTCCTCACTCACATTCTTTATTCTTAAGTTATGTATCTTTTTGTCATCTTCTAGCCTTTGAATTGTTTCTTTCTGGATCCTTGTTATTTTTAAGAGGCTTTTTCTTTCACGATCATATGCCATAAATCTCTCTTCAAGTTTCAGAAGGCTGTCTTTAGTTTCTGTCAGGATGTTTTGCCAGTGTTCAATGGAGTTTTTAGTTTCCTGGTAATCTCTTTGGATCTGTTTCATGTATTCTAAGTTATGTTTAAATTCTTCTTCAGAAGTTTCTCTTTCTTTTCTGATTTCCTCAGTTCTTCCATCTGTGTTCTCTTGGGCGGGGCTTGTCATTTCTTTAATTAATCTCTTTATATCTTGCCTCACTTGGATCAGGAGTACCACTTTAAATTCACCTATGAGGTCATGGAGGTATTTTTTAATTTCGGCTGATGCTGTGTCCAGTATTGGATGGTTTCTGTGCTTGTTCTCTTCTGTGTTGACTTCTCCTGGGCTTATTTTCTCATGTTGGGCAGCTGGAGATTTTTTTTTTTTTTGTCTCTTGTCATGTTTCTGGTTTCTTTCAGACTGTCCTGGGGTTCTCTGGCCCTCTCCGTATTGCTTAGGGCCTTTCAGAAGCATGCTGACTTGAGTTGTTGCTGTCCTCCCCAATTTGCTGTTATCTGGGGTAGGCTGGGATGCAGGGACAGTACTGGCTAGCCTCCAGACTCTGTGCCAGTCACTCTGTAAATTAGGCTGTACTTTCTGGATGTCACAGAGTTGTGACTATTTTGTATCTGCTTATTGGGCCCCAAGCAGAGGCTTGGTTCAGCCCCAGCAGATCCTGCCAGTTCTCTCTGTGCCAGAAGCAGCTGACTAATGTCACCGAGGCAGAGGGTTCTGCCCAAATCCCAGCTGTTCTCTTCCAGACCTCTCTGTGCCAGGAGCAACTATGTAGTGTCACCACAGCTGCAGGTCTGCCCAATTCCAAGATGTCTTCCACTAGTTCTCTGTATGACGCTGAAGCCAACACGGCATCAGGCTCTGCCCAATTTCAAGATGTCCTCCACCAGACCTCTTTACAGGGGTGACTCGGTGATGTCACCGAGGCGCAGGTTCTGCCCGACTCTAAGATGTCTTCCACCAGACTCTCTGTGTTATTGATGTCCCCGTGGTGGTGGGCTCTGCCCAGTTCCAAGATGTTCTCTGGCCAACCCCAGCAGCCGCGGGGTCCCCAGTACTCACCAGGATTCAGTGTAGGTCTTCCTCTTGAGCCTTCTGCACACCACACCACTTGCCCTCACTGCACTCCTGGCACAGCGTGGAATGGTCAGAAAACTGCACAGTGTTTGGCTTCGGAGCTCCAGAGCCTTTCACACTCTCCTCTGGTGCAGCGGAGCAGTCCTGGCTGCTTCTCGGGGTCCCGGGTCTCAATTTCCAGCAGTCACCAAAAGCCAACACAGATTTTCCTGTTGGGTCCCCAGGTCAGTTTGGTGCATTAAAGGCGCGGGATTTGCAGCCTCCCGTTATCAGCCTTCACAGTATCAGCACGACTTTAAATCCTCCAGCCACGCTGTCTTGGTTAATAAGAATCGTTATCCATTTGTCTGGCCCTCTCCATGTTGTCATATTCTAGCATCTAATATGATTTCTCCGGAGAGACTCTCCGCCCGATCCCCTAGCAAGCCGCCATTTTAGGATGTGTAACTGTAACTTTCATACAATTTTTAACAGCTATCATACAGCTTCACAGGGTAAATCAAGAAAAGGTGCATAAGCCAGGCATGGGGGTGCATACCTGTAGGCCCAGTGCTCTGGGAGGCTGAGGCAGGAGGATGTCGAGTTCAATCCCAGCCTGGCAACTTAGGGCTGCAGGTGTAACTCAGTGTGAAGGCCCGAGTTCAACCCCCAGTACTGCAAAATTACATTAAATTAAGTTTTTAAAGGGGGAGGAGGTGGATTGCTGCTGTCCTCCAATATCTTCTGGTGCAGTCAGGAAATGTGACTGTGCAGGTGCCCAGGAAACAGCCCAAAGCACGTGACAGGTACCCACAACCAGGGTGGGGGGCAGACGGGCACATAAACTCTTCACAGGAAATGAGGCCCGCACATGCCCAGAGCCTGTGGCCTCCGTGTCACAGGAAGGACTCAGTCACGCTCCAGCCGTAGAGCCCTAAGCCATCGTGTTACCCACCAGGTGGCGCAGTGGAGAGCCAGGGCCTGTGGGAAGCGGATGGGCAGCCCCTGGCCTCCTCGGATTAGGCCTGGGCGGGAAACAGTTCAGCGGTGGGTTTTGCAAGTTCCCCAGTGAATGTGATCAACATCCAGGGCTGGGGGAGAGAAGCGGAGGGACAGCAGTGCCCTGGACAGCAGCTGCCCAGGGACAGAGATGGCGCTGCTCCCTGCACCTGCGCTCCACTCCCCCGCTGAGCTGCTGCCCCCTGCGCCCCACCAGGGCCCGGCCTGTGGTCCAGATCAATGCCAGCCTCCGCTTCGAGCCACCCAGGATCAACATCTTCCACAAGGACTGCAAGCGCAGCGGCAGGGATGCCACCTGCCTGGCCGCCTTCCTCTGCTTCACACCCGTCTTCCTGGCCCCCTATTTCCAGACGGCAGATGTGGGTGAGCCAGGCCCCCCAGGCTGGCTCCTGAGAGTCCCCAGAATGGGTTCCCAGGCCCAGCTGCCACCTGGAGCCCCTCTGCCACACTCTCACACTGGGGGACAAAAGGGATGGGTGCCAGGGTGTCAGTGAGCAGAGGTCAGAGGAGAAGGAAGTAGTCAGAGTGCGGGTACAACAGAGGGCTCAGGGCATGGGGGTGCAGAGGCTGGAAGCCAGCCTGGACCAGTGGAGGGTCAGACCTGGCCGGCAGCTGCATGAAGGGCAGTGTTTCTCTGCACCTGTCCCTACTCAAGGCTGGAGTTCGCACCAGCTCGAGGCCATCCTGAAGGGACAGCTGCAGGTCCACACCCAGCTGCCCTGCAGGAGACTCAGGTTTGTGGATGGCATCTCCGCCAAGGAAGATGGAAGAAAAGGTGTGGGGATCAGGAGAGCAAAGGCATCCAGATGGAACTTAGAAGGGCAAGACAGGGCCATCTGTGAAAGGCGAAAGACAGGGCTGGGGTACCCCAAGACCTGGCTGAGAGATGGGACAAGGGACCAAGGCTTTCCCAGAACCAGCATGAGAATTTCCCAAAAGGAGAGGAGACTGTGGCTGGACCCCCAGAACCGAGCCACCATCCCCATCCCCAGAACTTTACCCTGGACATGGGCTTCCTGCCCGGCAGCTGCCCTCCAGGGCCTACCTGGGGAAGGGATGCAGCTGTCTCCTGGCCAGCCCGGGAGGGGCCAACGGAGGGGCACCTCCCAGGGAAGAGCGGCAGGGCCTGGGAGGGACACAGGTAAGGCCAGGAAGCCCTGACCTTGACCCTCCCCTGCTGCAGGCATCAGGTACAATGCCACCATGGACGAGAGGCGCTACATGCCTCGGGCGCACCTGGACGAGGGCAGCGACCAGTTCACTAACAGGGCAGCGCTGCTGTCCGCCGGCCAGGAGCACTGCCAGCGGCTCAGCTTCCACGTCCTGGTGAGCCTGGCCACCCCTAAGCAAGGGAGACAGCGCTGGAAGACACGAGTGACAGAGACAGGTGGCTTGAATGCCAAGGAAGAAGCAGCAGCGATGGGGCTGCGGGCTGGGTTCATCCTGCTAGGCTTCCTGGAAGCCGGCCTTTCAGAGTGAGAGGGAGCTTGGTGAAACCGCCAGGCAGCAGCTGAGCCGGGGGCTTGCAGTGTGCACACTTGGTCGCCTGCGGAGTTGGGGACCTCTGTCCCCTGTGTACCCTCCCTCCTTCCCAGTGTAGGAGGTGGTGGTCCCCACCCTGGTAATGATGCCCTCTCGTCTCTCCCACTTTCCCGTCCCCACCCCAGGACACTGCTGACTACGTGAAGCCAGTGGCCTTCTCAGTTGAGTATTCCCTGGAGGACCCTGAGAATGGCCCCGTGCTGGATGATGGCTGGCCCACCACTCTCAGAGTTTCGGTATGGCCTCAGTGGCACACGCCACCTCACACAACTTCATTTCCAAGACCCAGAGTGCCAAAGGCCTTTCCACCTCTTGTCCCAGGGTCCTTGGTTACTTTCCCGTCACTGGGATAAAATACCTGACACCACAATTTGGAGGCAGAGAGGTTTGTCTGGCTTATAGTTCCTGTGGGTTCAGTCCATGGCAGCCGGCTCCAAGGCAGAAATGGCATGGTGGAAGGGGCTGGTGGAAGACAGCTGCACCCCACAGGGCAGCCGGGATGCAGAGAGAAGGGAGGAGTGGGACAACAGTTCACCCTTCTAGAACATTCCTGAAAGGCCACCTCCAGCCAGGGCCCACATCCTACAGCGCATTCAGCTGAGAACCCTTCAGATGAACCACTGATGAGAACAGCTCCCCTTGATCCAGTCACCTCCCAACACTTGAGCTTTGGGGCTTCTCCTCCCTCCTGGACTTCCCACTCCCTGACCCACCTGGGCTCCCTGCGGAACTGACCCACTGTCCTTCCTCAGAGCTTTCTCTGGTACTGACAGTCTGCGTCTCTTCCTCCTCTCTGCCTCTTCTGTCCCTCGTATGTCCCAGCTTTTGGTTTTGCGCACATTTCACATGGCTTTGTTCGCACGGAACCTTGCCCACGCACGCAGGGCAGCAGCCGCGTCCCCCTCACCCCCTGCCCTGGGCGCAGACACCTTGCCCCACGCAGCAAGCGGCACTACCAGACCGGGAGACGGAGGGCTGAGCCTTGAGGAGGATGCAGGAGAAAGGGCGGCGTGGGCTGTGCGTGGCGGTGGGTCCTCTCCCGCCCTCACTGGCTCTCCCTGGCCCAGGTGCCCTTCTGGAATGGCTGCAATGAGGACGAGCACTGCATCCCTGACCTGCTGCTGGATGCCCGCAGCGACCTGCCCACTGCCCTGTGAGTGTCCCCTTCCCTGCCGGTGGCTTGGGGCTCTTCTGCACATGCCTTTCTCATAAGTGAGCAGCATGGGTCAGACGCTGAGCAGGAGCCAGGATCGGGCTGAGCCCAGCTTCAGCTCCTGTGTGGCTTCAGCTTCCTGCTGTGTTACAAAGAGTTTGAGGCTACATAGTGAGTTCAAAGCCAGCCTGGACTACCTAGCAAGAGCCTTTCTCAAAAACAAAAGAACAGAAATAGCACATCCAAACCTTATGGAAAGACAAAAAAAAAATTCTAATCAAGTAGACTAATAATCAAGATTGTCTCACATTTAGTTCTGAGCTTCCCAGCAGCCAAGGCCAAAAGGGAAACACAATTAGTAGAACCATGGTATGAGACTAGTGAGGTCCAGTGAGAGCTGAGCTCAGAGGAGGCCAGGGCCTTCAGAGCGGGGGGGGGGGTGGCCTTAAACAGTGAGCACCTGGCAGCCCTGCCAGCTGTTCTCTCCCAGGGGCTGTGTCCATGGGCAGAGCCAGCCAGGCGCCCCACCCGTGCCCTGTCTGCCTGCCTGATGCCCGCTGGTCTTGCCCACAGGGAGTACTGCCAGAGGGTACTGAGGAAGCCCACGCAGCACTGCTCGGCCTACACGCTGTCCTTTGACACCACGGTTTTCATCATAGAGAGCACGCGTCGGCGGGTGGCCGTAGAGGCCACACTGGGGAACAGGGGCGAGAACGCCTACAGCGCTGTGCTGAACATCTCCCAGTCCCCTAACCTGCAGTTTGCCAGCCTGGTCCAGAGGGTGAGCACCTCACACATGCCCCGCCAAGCCGAGGTCTGCCCCCCCTTCCACTCATGCTGACTGATCTTTAAGTCACCCCGGATGTCACCAGCTCAGCCTGCTGGTCACACTGCACCCTCCTCTGGGCTTCCTCCCACTCTGGCAGGCCAGCATCTGCTGTGTGGAAGCCTCCTGCGTCCTGTGCCCCCTAATGACCAGGCCCTGTGTTAACAGTGCATGAGGTACTTGGTGGCAGGGTGTCTCCGTTTTACAAGGGGGGAAACTGAGGCACAGGGAATGCCTCTGTGGCTTGCACAGGAACACACAGCTAATAAGCAGCATGGGGTTTCCACCCAGCAACTGGCCCCAGAGCTGCACTTTGTGACAGTACTGTCCCCTTGTCACCTCTCTTGGTGTCTTTCCTGAAGCCTACAGGGTCACAGAGAGCTCTGCTCCCCTCTGCATAGCTAGGCGAGGCCCTGCTGAGACCCCAAGTCCTCCCCGAGGGCATGCACGCCTCCGCAGCCTGACCTGTCTGCTCAATGGACCTGGTGCCAGGCATGTGTGCTGTGATCCGGTCCCCTTAGGCGCCATCCCCATCCTCACCAGCCTCAGTGTCCTGCAGAGCCGAGTGTAGGGGGCAAAGGGCATCAGGCTTGCTGTCCTGAGCCACCCTCCTGTGTCCCCACACTGGCCCATCTCAGACCCCTGCCCCCCCATCCTCAGCTTCGCTCTCGGTGTCCCTCAGCAAGAGCCTGGCTGTGACTGTCACCATCTCCCAGAGCCAGTCCTGCAGGGATCACTTGATTGGGGGCACGCAGAGGCATCAAGTCCCTGTCTCAGCCTGATTGTTATCTGGGGAGGGGACCCTTGAGTCGTGCTTCTGGGCACAGCAAGTTTTAGGGGAGAGGAGGTGGAAGACAGGAGGAGGTGCTGGGTGGTGCTGCATCAGGCTGCAGGAGCCTGAGAGGTCACGTCCAGCACAGGGGACTCAGGAGGATGCGCCCCACTCACACCCACACACACGCATGGCCTACACAGGCCACAAGTTCCCTAACACGCCATGGGCCAGGCAGGGCCACAGCACTGAGCAAGAGCCAGTGTTGACAGAGCAGGCCTTGAGCTCAGTGCTGCTGCAGCGTGCACTGTGTCCCCACACCCTTAGCGCAGCTGGGGGTGGGCGGCACTAGTGCCCCCTCAGCCAGGCCAGGGAGTCACAGCAAACAGGCACAGCAAGCCAGGGTGCCATGGGGCATCTTCGTCCTCCCTCCCTGAGGCTAGAGCAGCTGAGCTGGCACTGGGCACCTGCCGCTCTTCACCCTCCCTGCCCATGTCAGCCACCTGGCCTCCGAGGCCTCTGCTGTCCCCATGGGGCACATTCCAGGCTCCACATGGGCAGTGGGGGGTCAGTGAGCAGTAAGGTGGCACTGAGGGTGGCCTGGTGTCCTCACCCACCCCCAGGATGACTTGGACAACAGCATCGAGTGCGTGAATGAGGAGCGTGGGCTGCACAAGAGAGTCTGCAACGTCAGCTACCCCTTCTTCAGGGCCCAGGCCCAGGTTTGGGGGGGGTGAGGGGGGGCGCAGGGAGGAGGAGGCCGAGGGGCGGGCGCATGGGGAGTAGGGAGGGGAGAGGCCTAGCGGCAGGGCACCGGGCAGCCACAGAAGGTCCTGGAGCAGAAGTCCCGAGGCAGAGCTGCTCACAGGCGGGAGTCAGAGGGAGGGGGGCTCAGCTGGCACAGGGCAGGGCAGCGGTGGTCCCCAGAGCGGGGCTGCGCGGCTGAGGGAGTGGAGAGCTGTGCATGGCTGCCGCGGGAACCCTTGTTAGAGGTGCGGGGGAGACCTAAGTCCAGGGTGGGCCAGACTCCAGAGAGAGATGCGCTGCAGCTCCATGCTGCCCTCACACCCTGGGAGAGGGTCACCCAGTCACCTGGAGGGGCACAGCGTTCCCTGGTGACACCCCCAGAGAAGGCACCGCGGTCAGATGTGGCCCGGTTGGTCAGGGCCCCTCTCCCCAGGGACCAGGCCAGCAGTGTGGCCCGGGGCTACAGGGAAGGGCAGTGAGGGGCCCCTGCCCTTGAGCCATTAGCACCCCTACTCACTAAAAGTGCTGGCTGCCTTCTAGCTGAGCCAGCCTCGGGAGTGCACATCTGTAATCCCAGCTCTTTGGAGGCTGAGGCAGGAGAATTGCTGTGAGTTCAAGACCCTGTCTCAAAAACCAAACAAATGAAAATAGAGATAGGTGGCGGGGGCAGGACTCTCTGTGGCTGCAAGTAAGGGTCACAGACAAACTGAGCCGTGTGATGGGTGGTTCCAGCCCCTCTCCCTGCCCTTCCTGCAGGTGGCTTTCCGGCTAGAGTTCGAGTTCAGCAAGTCTGTCTTCCTGAACTACCTGGAGATCCAGCTCAGCTCCGGCAGGTCAGGCTTACCCCACTCCCTGCCTCTCCCACCTGCCACCAAATTCTGTCCCCGCCCCAGCCTGGGGGCCCAGGCCAGGCACAAGCAGAATGTTAGCCTCGAGGCTATGCCTTCCCTGTCAGGGAATGTCAGGGCGCAGTTAGAGCCCTGCAGTCTGGAGGGGAGGGGGGGCCTGTGCATATGCCCACGTGGCCTCCTGGCAGGCTCTAGCCATCAGCAAAGCCAGGTGTGTGGTGGTGCACACCAATAATCTTAGCCCTTGGGAAGCTGAGACAGGAGGACTGACAGGAGTTTGAGGCTGGCCTGGGCTCAGTCAGTTTAAAGCCAGCTTGCACAGCATAATGAGACCCTGTTGCAGGAAAAAAAAAAAAAGACAAAATCCAAAAGTGAGCAAAACCAGGGCTGTTCCCCACAGCACCCAACACAACAACCAGGAAGAAGGAAAGCCTTTCTCGAGTGAGTCTCCCAGTGCAACACAGCATGTAAAGGGTGCTGCAGGGAGGCAAGCAGTAGCCTCCCGCTCCCCTGGAAGGGCCATTCCCGCTGCACGTGGGTCTGTCTGGCCCAGGCCTCCTGGTGGTGGCTGCTGTGTGCCACACCCTGACTTTCCATGCAGTAGTAAACATGCCTCCTTCGTGCACGGTCCCCTCTCTGTGGGGCACGGGGTCCTGTCTACTCTGGAGCTTCCTAAACAACTGAGATCCTTAGCAGAGACAAACACTGCAGGTAAACCAAGCACCACACTGCCCCCCACACACAGCTGGGGTCATGGGCGCAGGGACCCCCCCATCTCACTGTGGCAGGTATACACTCCTGGGGCTCCCGGTCCCCGACTCCGAGAGCACATTGGCTCACCCACACAGGCAGGCCCAAGCAGGGCACACAGGTGTGTATGTTTCAGGGACCCCGAAAACCTCTCAGCAGTGACAGCATCAAAGCCTGCAAACCAGGCAGCCAGGAGAGAGACTGTTTCCATGTCTGCACGCTCCTGCCCGGGGGAAGTCACAGTGACTACAGGGCAGGGCACCAGGAGTCACACTGGCCAGTCAGCGACAGATGCGTGCCCTGCTGTCCCCCCAGAGCAGGGTGGCACCAAGGACGCCCCTCCAGCCTGTGAGGCAGGAGGAGCCCTGAGCTCTTACTGGCCCCAGGGCTGTCACCTGGCCCTTACCCTCCCAGTGGACTTCTGGTGCCCCCCAAGCTCCCTCCTTGGTGACCCAACTGTCCCCACAGTGACAGCGATGAGCAGGACAGCACCAAGGAAGACAACACAGCCCTCCTGCGCTTCCACCTCAAGTACGAGGCAGACGTGCTCTTCACCAGGTGCCAGAAGGGGAGACTCGGGGCGGGTCCCCTGCTGGGTCTCCCGTGCAGTGCTGGCACTGAGGGATGCTGGGTGTGACCCTGATGGGCCAAACAGTACAGCCCCCATCTGCTGGGGAAGGAGGCCCAGGCCAGGCTCCTGGTGTGAGCAGGGGGCAGTGGGAGGTTCCCACCCCAGCACAGGCAGAAGAGGGTTCATTGTAGAGAATTTTAAAACAGAATTTAAAAGAGCTACAAACTGGGAGTGGTGGCACACACCTGTAATACCAGTGCTCAGGAGGCTGAGGCAGGAGGATCACTGCAAGTTCAAAGCCAGCCTGGACGACATAGTAAGGCCATCTCTCAAAACAGAGCAAACAAAAAATCCCCTGCAAAGCGTCCGTGTGCTCCGTCACCACAGGGCACTCGCAGTTCTAACTGCATCGCTGGGAAATGACCCACCCTTCCTCGGCCCATGACCACTTGCCTCACCCTCCAGCCACCAGCTGATGGGCCGCCCAGGAAGCCCCAGAGCTTAGAAGGGGACCAGATGGACCGCTGATGGCTGGCGTACCTGCTGCCCTCAGAATCCACCCTCCCACTGTCAGGGCACAAGGACAGTCCCGGCCCGTCTGCCCGTCTTCGGAGGCAGGTCCCGCCCCTTCCACTCCCCACCCGACCAGCGGAGCCCGTGCTCAGGCAGCCCCTTTCCTGTCCACAGGAGCAGCAGCTTGAGCCACTACGAGGTCAAGGCCAACAGCTCCCTGGAGAGCTACGGCGGCCTTGGGCCTCCCTTCCACTGTGTCTTTAAGGTACTGCTCAGGGCGGCCAGGCCAAGAGGCCCACGGGGAGGGAGGGCAGCCCTCGGAAGTCAGCCCCAGGGCTGGAGTCCATCCTGCGCCTTGCCACGTGTTCAGAGTGACTTCGCACACGTTTCTTCCCCTCTCTCTGGTTCTTAGTTGTCAAATACAACTAACTGTTGTGGGGGGCAGTAATATCAGAGACTAGGAGTGCCTGTTTAAAAATTGTTAATAGTCTTTACACTCACCCATAAAAGAAGTGCAGACTTGGCAGTTTCAAAAAGTTGTTGAGGAGGGAGGTCTTTAGTTCCGCTACCCTCGGCCTCAACTTCACCTCACAGTCCAAGATGGCTGCAGCTCCAGCCATCACATTCTGATTCCAGGTGGCCACCCTCTCCCTACTGGGGAACTTCCCTGGCAATCCTTTACACTTTCCATTACCCCGCCTTGTCCAAAGCCTACGTTTTGCTGTAAGGGAGGCTGGGAAGTGGGTTCTGTCTTGGTTTCTGTCCCTCGGGCAGAAGGGAACGTGAGATTGGTGAGCAGCTTGGTCTCTGCTGCAGACACAGAGCCCTGTGCGCCCTGTCTGAGAGAGGTCTGGTAACCCGCCTGTACCACACAGCTCCCCAGAGCAGCAGCCGCGGTCCTGCCTCAAGCCCTGCTTGGCTGTGATGGCTGCTGCTTTGCCACCAAATGTGTCCCGGTCAGAGCAGGAGCTACCAACACGGGTTGTCCGCTCCCTTCAAAGAGAACCTTCTGGGGCTGGGATATAGCTGAGCGGCATACGCACCTGCCTTGCAAGGGCACAGTTGTGAGTTTGATCCCCAGTACCGATTTAAAAAAAAAAAGAGAACCTTCTGCTGACCTTGGTGGTGGTCGCTGTCTCCATGCCGGCCCTCAGATTAAACAAGGGGCTCTTCTGGCCCAGAGGCGGGAGAAACAAGACTGGGCCACATCCAGCAAGCACTTCGCCTCCTGCGCAGCCAGAACGTTGGTGGGCGGCAGGGGGAGGGCGAGAGCGGCACAGGCTGACCCAGGGCAGGGACGGGAGGCAGGGAGCAATTGTCCAGGAAGGACGAGCAGCAGAGCAGCAGGCGAGGGGAGCTAAAGTCTCACAATCCCACTGGCCAGGCCGGGTTCCAAAAGGTACTTTCCTTCTCACCCAGCTGAGAGCTACCGGCCAGTCTCTTAACTCCGCCCACAGATTCAGCACGCAGCACATCACTAGAGGTCACAGACAGTGACCCAGGAGGCCTCGGGCCAGGAAAGTGAGGACAGCTTAGCACAGGCGCATTGCCAGGTGTGCCCTGCACGTGTTCCAAAGGGTCCCAGCTCAGCACACCCACGACTTATCACCCCTGCACTCCGCTTCGCTGAGGCTCCCACCGTCTCTCTGGCTGCAGGTCCAGAACCTGGGCTTCTTCCCCATCCATGGTGTGACCATGAAGATCACCATTCCTGTGGCCACCAGGGGCGGCAATCGCCTGCTGGTGCTGAGGGACTTCTTCACTGACCAGGTACCAGGCCCAGAAGCCACCACAGGGGAGGGCTCGGCCACAGACAGACATGGCCTCTGGTGTGTCCCTGGACTCCAGCTCCCAAGTGGAGAGACCAGCCCAGTGCTGGGTCTCACAGGCTGGCTGTGTCCCATGTAGGTGAACACATCCTGTAACATCTGGGGGAACACCACCGAGTACCGGGCCACCCCGATGGACGAAGACTTGAGTCAGACCCTGCGGCTGGTGAGTGTCCCCAAACCCAGAGCCAAGGGACAGATAGAGGGGTACTGCCTGCTCCAGGGGCCATGTCTCACCCAGCCAAGTGTTTGTCAAAAAGAGTTTGTTGAGCTGGGTTCAGCGACATATACCTATAGGCCCAGTGACTCAGGAGGCTGAGGCAGGAGGATTGCTGCAGGCTGCTGATTTCCAGGCCAATCTGGGCAACATAGAGACTCCCTAGTTTAAACCAAGAGAAAGTGTGTTAGAGAGCAAGAGCACTTCTCAGTACCCCAATGTGCCCAGCCCTGGACAGAGGAAGAGGAAAGGGGTTCACTTCTCACAGGAGAAGGGAAACAGACACACAGCGAGGCCTCAGATCTGGTGATGGGGTCGGCAGAACCAGAAAGCACAGAGAAGGATCAGAGAGACAGAGGCCAGAACACACAGCCTAAGCTGGAGCCCTGCAGCCCCAGGGTAGAAGCAGCACCCTGACTCCAACAGGAGCCCCTGCCGAGTCGTCTGCAGGCTCCGAATCTCCCTGCCTGCGTTACTGGAACCCTCGGGGCCCACGTCTTGGCCTGCGCTCACGATGCCACACCAGCAGAGATCTTAGCTGCTGTGGTCTTATCTCCCCAGACCAGCACCTCGCACAGAGCACTGTTGAAGTGCACGGCTCTGCGGGGCAGGGCAGCAAGCCAGCCCCCCTGACAGCTGTCCCCAAGGAAGTCCTGATTGCTGAATGATTTGTTTGGATTTCCCATCAGTTTTCCATTCAGTCCTTATAAACTGCTTCTCTGCCATAGCACTCTGGCCAGGACCTCCTCGCCTCAGAAGCAGAAGTCATAGCAGGATGCTTAGATTGCCATGGTCCTGATTTTAGGGGAACACGAGACAGCGGCCACACCCCCTTTAATCAGATGTGGAAGTCCCCTGGCTCACTCGCAGGCACAGAAGCTGGATTTCCTAAACTACTTTTTCTCCATATCATTTTTCCTTTTTGAAAAAAAAAAAGAAATGAGTTTTTTGAGGCAGGGTCTCATCATGCAGTTAGGCTGGTCTTGAACTCACTGTGTAGCACAGGCTAAGAGCTTGCAGCGACCCTCTTGCCTCACCTCCTAGGTGTTGGAATTACAGGTGTGCCCGTCACACCAGCTCGTTTTTCCTTTTGATTGATGTATATGGTGATAACACAGATAGATTTCTTAATATAAACCAGACTTCTGTTCCTGGAGTTCACCCACCCCGGTGACTGTGAACAAGTCAGGCTCCCAGCCACCCTGTCACCCCGTCACCCTGCCACCCTTTTCTCCTGCCACCCTGCCCACTCCTTCCCCCACAGCAAATGCCCAGGGCACAAGGCCTCTGGCCATGTCCCCACTGCTCACCCTGGCCCTTCCTCTCAGAACCACAGCAACGCAGACGTGGTCTCCATCAACTGCCATGTGCGGCTGGCCCCCAACCAGGAGCTCAGCTTCCACCTGCTGGGGAACCTGTGGCTGAGGTCCCTGAAGGCAGTAAGTGGAGCCCTTCGGGGCAGGGACAGAGGCAGGCAGGGGAAGGGGTGGGGGCAGCCATCTAGGGGGCAGCTTCCCACCAGGCCCTGCTCCTGCAGCTCAAGTTCAGGTCCCTGAAGATCACGATGAACTCGGCCCTGCAGAGGCAGTTCCACAGCCCTTTCATTTTCCGGGAGGAGGACCCCAGCCGCCAGGTGAGACCCTGTCCTCCAGTTCCCATGGGGTAAGAGGAACAGAAAAGCAGGGACGGGCAGGCCCCGCTTTCCATCCCACGGTGACCCCTAACTGTTCAGCCTCAACAACTCCCCCAGGTCAAGGGGTGCCGACCACAGTGCCCCAGCCCCCGCGCCTGACAAGCCCTGGCTGGCATTTGGATTTGGCCAAGCTCTACATGCAGCCTGGTCTAGGAGGCCACAGGAGGGACTCGGCCGCCCTCCCGCGGCCACATCGCACAAACAGAAAACCAGTGCAGGACCCACCAGGGAATGTGGACTCAGGCAGGGCAGGGTTTGCCAGCCCAGGGGCACCAGGATGCCCCCCCCCCGCCCCAGCAGACCATCCTCTCCACATCAGGGGGTTCTATTAGGAGACATCTCCTTCTACCCCTGTCCCCCCACCCCCACGTGCTCTCTGGGTACCTCATTTCTCTTGTGAAGAACAACCCCCAGATGAAGCCCTGTTGTACTGTCTGGGTATGAGGTCCACAGGGGCAGGGCAGGCACAGCACGGTCCCAGCCTGTGGGAACACAGGAGGACACCGTCCATGCTGAGCAGTGGCCCAGCCAGTTTTGCCTTTGGAACTCCTTTCTCTGTTTGGAAAAAAAAAAAAAAACTAAAAATTTTGCATCTGTGTCAGTATAAACAGGAAGGAATATTAGCCAGGCTGGATTATTTTCATTATTTCTAATTTTAAAAACAACTAAAAGTTTCCCAGGCCCCTGAAAGTGCTGTAGGCCCTGGGTGCTGTGCCTGCCATCCCCATAAGTAAGGCCAGAGTCCCCAAAGGAGGCGACTCGGGACAGAATGTGACAAACCATCACTGAGATGTCTGGAAGCTGGGGAAGAGCAAAGAAGGCAGAGAAGGGCCAGGCATGGAGTGGGAGCCACTCAGAGGCAGACTCGGGGCCTGCCCTGAGGAAGCCTTGGCTCCAGGTCGCCTGGCACAGCCACCACTTGGTCCAGCAGCTCGCTGTGGAAGTGGAGCTCCCAGCAGGGTGCACTGTGCCCGGCCAGGACAGCAAACCACGCCACTGACCAGACCACTCCCCTGCAGGTCACCTTTGACATCTCCAAGCAGGAGGACTCACAGGTCTCCATCTGGATCATCCTGGGCAGCACACTAGGGGGCCTCCTCCTGTTTGCCCTGCTGGTTCTGGCTCTGTGGAAGGTGAGGCCCTCAGGGACAGCACCATATTCTCTCCTTTGCCAGCCAGCACCCTCCAGGCCCTCACTGAAGAGGCAGAGGGGTGCGGGCCCCCAACCTGGGACCCAGCCTTGGAGAACAGGAGAAAGTAGGACCTGCACTTCCCTCCCCTCCATCCTTCACTTACCTTCCCCTGCCTCTCCTTCCATTCCCATCTGCCCCAAATTCCAACAAAAGGTCAAGCAGTGAACCCCCACAAAGCCCCTGCCCATCTCTCCTGCGAGATGCAGGAAGGAATCACCGGGGTGCTCAGGAAGGCCTGAAGGGGCCCAGCCTGTCCACCCGCACACCCCTGAGACGCCCCTCTGCCTCCCACAGCTGGGCTTCTTTAAAAGTGCCAAGCGCAAGAGAGAGCCTGGCGCAGACCCCAGGCCCAAAGTGCTAGAGTGAGGCACCGGCAGAGGTGTGGAGTTGACAGGGCCACCACGGTCCAGACGGGATGCAGGCCCAGGCCCACGGCCCCACCGAGCTGGAGCAGAGAGGACGCCGCTGGCTTTGCACTTGACCTCGACTCCCAAGCGCGGTGCCTCCGCCCTCTGGGATGGAACTTAAGCAGGGCACTGCCCACCTTAGGAGGGTACTGCACCCCAGATACCAAGGTACCGGCACTCTGCAGGCAGCCCGTCTCTGGAGCAGCCAGGAGCAGGACTGTAAATACAAACCGCCCTGCACCTCCACCTGAGAGCCACACTGGCCCAGGTCACACCAGCCTCTCCCTGTAGACAGGCCCTTTAGATGCTCCTGCCTGAGGCTGGGTTGGTCCAGCTGCAGGCCAAGATGGAGACTCTGGGAAGTGATGCCACAGGAGCAGGTGAGACCTGCTGCTCTGACCCTGTGGTGCCTGCCCTGGCTGCCGGCCATCCCTCCCAGCTGCTTCCGTTCCTTGGTACCTCACTGTGGGCAACACAGTTCTCCTGGGCCTACGCAGACCCACCTGTCTCCTGCAGCCTGCCCGACCTTGCCAGCTGCTGGCACGGACTTCCTGGCCTGGCTGCACCCTAGTAGAGGTGAGGGCTGGGAGTCCCTCCTAGCATCACCTCTGTGTGTACACACACACACACATACACACACACACACATGCATGCACATACTCCCCACCAGGGCAGGGAACTGCTCGGCACCACAGCAGAGGGGCCCTCTCTGCAATGCACTGAATCGGGCAGGACTGTACCCGTGCAGCCTGGTGGTAACCATCACACCTGCCTGCAGAGGCCATGAGACCTGGGCCACACTGGCACCCTGAGGCCCACAGGGATGCAGGTGCCCTGTGGAGTACTGGTGCTTAACCCTTCTTTGAAGTAGAAATGAAAGAGGGGCTTGTCAAAGGCATCTGTCCCCCTGTACATACGACCTTTACTGTCGTAAATATTTCTGAGAAATTAAAAGTGTTTACAACCCACCAAGGCATTGCCACTCTGCAGCCACTTTCCAAAGGCCAGGGAGCTTGGGGAGGAGGGTGCCTGCCATCCCTTCTTACCGGCACAACGAGAACAGAATTGGCTACCCTGTGCCCCTGCGACGCTCCCTACGAGGGGTACTATCTCCCCTGTATCTCTGGCCGGCACAGGCACAGACGGTGAGAACTCAGTTTGCTGGGTCTGTCCCTACTCCTGCCATGCAAACCTCCCACCCCACCGAATTCCTGCCGCACACACAGGCAGCGCCTTCCCCTGTTGCCCCCACACAATTCCTGTGCCATTCACCTCTAGGAGCCCCAGCCCACAGAACCTTGGAAATCTGATCTTATTTCCCCTGAGCAGGGGACACTCAGAATCAAAGAAATGAAAAGATGGCTTTGGAGGGGTTCCACAGTAAAATCAAAAGAGCCCCGGGGTGCTCACCTCAGCCACACTGTCCCTCTAGCCCAGTGAGAAGCAAAGCCTGATAATGGGGAACCTGCAACATGACTATCTAACCCTGTGAGGTCAAAACCTGAGTTACAGTCCTAAGGAAAAGTCGAGTCATATTCCAGATCGGTCATCACTCTGAAGAAACAGGTAACCGCTTACCTGAGTTTGATTCTCAGTACCAAAAAACAACAATGGGGTAACCTAGCAAAAAAGAAAAGAAAAAAAGACTGAACCCATGCTCCGAGTACCACCTACCCAAGTACCCCTGCAGACTTCAGAGAACAGCCCGCAGGGAAGCCCACATCCTTAGAAGTCCGTGTTCACATTTTTAACCAACCACCCCTGACAGGGCAGGCCGAGCGGAGCCCACCTGGAGGGCGCAGTGCTGCCAGCGGCCTCAGGTCCCAGGCAGCCTCACAGTCTTGTTCTCCCACCCTCCCAGGGTGACACTGGGCCAAGCAGATGGTCCCAGAGGGTGGAGGGTTTGGGAAGCCTGTGCCTTCCAAGTCTTTGCCTTTGTCTCGTGTGTCTGCTTTCTCTCTGTTGTCTCGTATCAAGTCTTCCTGCCCAAACCTTTCACTCTGAAGTAGAAATGTCCAGGACTCGCCTTCAGGGGCCTGGCAGGGCAGACACAGAAGAGGCACTGCAGAAGGAGCAGTGCCGCTTTCATCACCCTGGCTGGACGTGAGCGTCATTCGGAGGCTTTAACAGAGAACGAGGGGCCAGGTTGGATTGCTGGGAGTGGGGCCAGAGCACCGCTTTCATTCCCTTCCAACTTACCTGCGTAACATATGCTGAGGTGAACAGAAGATGAAGTCTGAGGTTTGGCATGCGAGGGCTCTGGGATGAAGACTGTCACTGCATTTGCCTGGAGTCCATCTGGCTCTCAGCTAGTCTGGAAGACCCTCAGGTACAGCAGAGCTCCGAGGCAAGGTGTGCTGCAGATTCCACTGCTTCTGGGCCCTCAGAGCCGGGGCAGTTGGTACCAGTCTCGCTGCAGGTGGGAGGACAGGGAAACAGCTGCCCTGCAGGACAATTTTGCTATTTTGAGGAAAGTACCCCAAAGCTCAACCTTGAATCCACATTAAAACCCACATTGTGACTCACAGGTATTACCAAGTGCGTGCATCTGCTACTTAAGAATTATTTAGATGGAGCTCAGGGCTAACCCCTAGGTTGACAGGAAACATAACCAACTCAAAACTGGTGCAGTCTTTGAAGAACACTGTGGGCCTGACCTGGACACCACTGTAAGCAAGCTGCTCTGGTTCCTGTGGGCACAGGACAGGCAAGACATCCCCAGCAAACTGCAATGCACAGAGGAACACACTCCCCAGCAAGGTGGGACTTATAACCAACTTACCCACAGAGGAGGATGAGACTCTGGCCCACCACTGTCAGGATTTCTAATTCCTGGGCTCGCTGTGTAGTAGAGGAGACAGGCATCCAAGCAGGAGCTGTGGAAGGAGACAGGCAAGATGTCCAGGGTGGTTCTGAGACTGGCTGGGACTCCAAGGGGACCTCCATGAATGGGCGCTCCTTGGAAAAGCAGCAAGATTTCAAGACTTGGTGCAACAGTGCCATGCAGGAAGCGGGGGTAGGTACAGTGTCCTTCAGCTCAGGCCAGCTAGGAGATGCAGAGGACAAATCCTGCCAGGTTTGTTCTTTGTGGCCTTAGACCCTGTGGGCTCCCCCACTCCAGCAAACTGTGCCTCAGAGAGGGTGATCCAGAGCAGAGTTCTGCAGGTGCAGCCTCAAGCAGAACTACGGGCCCAAGTTCTGGCACAGACACCCCAGACCCAGGTTTCTAAGAAGTCCCAAGCAGTAGCCTTCTGGTCCTCTTGGCCTTCATGGCCATTCCTCACACTGTCTGTCTCAACTGCCTTTCCACGGTGCACACCCAGCTAAAGCTCCCAGCTGCATCTTCCAGGGTGGGCAGTGGCGTGGCGTTAGCAACTTTCCTATTGTCAAGGAAGGTGGTGCTGAGCAAGCCAGGTACCCATGTGGAGCTGCTGGAGCACTGCTGGGAGATGGTGTGGACAATGCCCCTGGAGCTGCCAGCCCCCTCTCTCCCACCGGGAGACCTGTGACTTGAGTCTTCCCCTGGCCTCACGCCCCAGGATGCCAGGCAGCCAGTAATAGGAAGAGCTAGCTAAACTGCATTCCTGTCCTGGCATGGACAATGATGGCCTGGCCCTGCCCGCCCAGCACGGAGCGGCCAGGTGTGTCTACACCTCAGGTGCAGCCAGCAGCAGGAATTCACTCAACATCCGTCCTGTGCACTCTCCTTCAGTCCACTCTTCTACATGGCTTCTGATCATTAAAAACAATCCCCAAGTCACTTTTCCCTTAGTATAAACATCTGCCAGACTTTTCTCAAAGGGCAGTGAACCTCAGCCATCCACAGCGAGCTTCTGTGGCACGCGTGGCTCGGTACTGAAGCAGAACCACAAACCAGCTGAGGAGCATCACACCTGAGCACTGACTTCCGCGGGACCGGCACTGGGCTGGGCTCCGGGGGGTGGGGACAGGGGATCCTCTCTGACAGCAGCGGGGCGCCACACCCTCACACCAGCATCCCTCCTACCCGGCTCGCGTGTCCTTTGTTTCCATCCCTGACGCTGCAAGTGAAACAGGAGATGTGCGATGGGTCAATGCTGTTTCCCATGATTTCCTGAAGGCAGCCTGAACCACAACTTGTTCAGCAATACATTCTGAGTCAAACGGAAAACAGTGTTTTAGAAAAGGTCGTCCACGAGGGGGCGACGGGCCTGTCAAGGGCAGAGACCATCCCTAGCACAGGACCTGGCACACAGAGCTGCTGCGCAGGTAGCACTGATTTCCGAGCTGTTCCCACCAGGTGAGGCAAGTTCCTCTCCGAAGGAATGAGCACAACAAATTCTAAAAGCACAGGTGAATTTGAAAATGGAATTTGGTCTAAACTTGCCCACCAGTAAGATCTTATAAACCACTGAAATCCATCTCTCTCACACCAAAGTTATCTAGGTCAAGTGTTGACTATGACTGTCAATAGTCTGGCTCACGTTAATTTCATACAACAGACATTGTTTGAAATAAAAGAAGTCCATGCACTAAAGCCTGTCAGGGTGTTTCTGCAGGGCAGTGTCCCATCAGGGACCGGAGGACAGCAGCAGCCACTGCCTCCTGGGTCCGGGGCCCACCTCCAGCCCTGACACTCAGTCTCTATGGCTTTGGAGGCACACAGTGCTTCTGTCTGCATCCCCAGCGCAAAGAGGGCAGGGGTACACCAGATGGCTCTGTAGGTCTCCGTTAAATACACTGGTATGGTCACCCCGTATCTGAACTCGGAGGATGTGCTCCCACACCACGCAGCATCTTCACACACTCCTGGCAACTTTAATTTCTATATTAGATAAAAGAAGTAGAGCGTCTAATACTGGAAATTAGAAGTCAGTTATTATTACCTGCAACTAATGATTAGTGTTATCGGGGATATCCAAAAGAAACAACTAAAAAATAAAGTTCTTAAAGGGAAATGCATTAAGGTACCTTTATAAAAACATTAAAAATTAAAAGCATAAAACAAACCTAATTATGATAAATGCAAAATAGATAACTATATAATGGGAGACAATGAGAACTACCTCAGCCAGCTGTGGTGGCACACAGCTCTAATCCCAGCACTCTGGAAAGCTGAGGTAGGAAGATGCCAAATTCATACCCAGCCTGGGCAATGCAGTGACCTAGACAGACCCTGTTTCAAAATAAATCATTTTTAGAAGAGCTAGGGATGTAGTTCAGTGCAAAGGCCTAGGTTCAATACCCAATATTCCCCACCACCACTGCTGGAAAAAAAACAAGTTTGCCAAATTTAATTAAAATTGTAAAAGCTTAAAAAAAATCTCTGAACAGAGAAATAAAAGACAAACAGAGGTGTCTTTCTTTTGGATAAAAAGGTTCAGAATTGTAGATGCCAGATCTTCCTAAATTAATCTAGTGATTCAATGCTAAACAAAATGTCTTTTTTTCCTTCGGTACTGAGGATCAAACTTACAACCTTGCACTTGCCAGGTAGGTGCTTATGCCACTGAGCTAAATCTCCCAGCCAACAAAATAACCTCTTAACATGACACCAAAGGTCATCTAGAAAAAGCTTACATACAACAGTGAAAATACCCTTCCCATCCCCAAAAATGAAGAAATATAAGCCTGACAGCACTGAACATTTACCAGGCACTTCAATGCATGTTGGGCATTTTAAGTATCTCATTTGCTTACCGCAGTCCAAATAATACCAGAGTAGTGTCTGAATTTACAGAAATTAGAGAAGTAACCTGCCCAAAGTACAGAGCTGCAAAGTGGCAGAACCAGAACTCGATACCAAATACTATTCCCCAGAGTTCCACATTTCAGATCAACCAACCAGAGAATCCAGAAAAAGATCCAACCATTTTGAAGATTTCACTTATTTTAAAAAATTCAAATTAACAGGAAATAATTAAGAAGTCCCTGACTAGCTGGATATTTTCATCAAAATAAATTACTGGTTGGTCAAAAATTTAAAGAAGAGGAAGAAAAGGGTAAGAAAAACCATGAAAGCATCCTAATTTCAAAGAAAATACTGGTAAAGATGTTATGGTCCTGGAATAAAGGCAGGCTGACAATCAGGATACAAAACTCAAAATCTATGTAAAAATTATGACAAAATTGATTACATAAAAACATTAACTTTCTCCTGTAATACCAGCTACTCAGATGGCTAAGGCAGGACCACCATAAATTCAAGGCCAGCACAGACAGCTCTGAAAGGACCGGTCTCAAAGTAAAAAGCAAAAAGACAGGTTCGGGATGTAGAGCAGGTAAAGGCCCTGGTTCAATTCCCAGATAGATAGATAGACAAATCGAAGTGACAAAAAACAATTACCGTATTTAAAGTAAAAACAAAACCAAAAAAGTTTCCTTACACTTCTACAGGATTTCAAATAGTAAAAAAAAGACCACAAGTCAAAGGAAATATAAATGGTTGATAAATACTTGAAAGCATTCAACCTCATTCAAAATAAAGGGACACAATCAAAATGACAAACTACTAGTTTTCCATTAATCACCACGGCAAAAACTAAATGATGAGGTAATTATGAGATGTCATGGCAGGCCCAGGGGGATGAGAAGGAATTTGAAAATCACTGTCAAGACTTTGAATACAGAAGGATGAATTTGTTCAATGACTATTATACAGGAAGATGTGCATTACAGTTCCCTGCAACATCAAAAATAAAAAGGCAGCCAGATGTGCTGATTATCTTGTAATCCCAGAACCCTGGGGAGCTGAGGCAGCAGATCAAGCCTGGGCAACTCACTGAGATCCACAATTACAAATGATGCAGCTCAATGTGAAGACCTGGGGTTCAATCCCCAGCACCAGAAAAAAAACTGAAAACCCAAAGGTCCACCAATAAGATCTAGGTAAAAAATTTTAAGTTCATCATAGAACTCAATGCTATGGCTATTTCTTTACAAATCTATACAGGGCCAGCAATAAAGATCAGTGGTTGAGAATTTGCCTGGCATGCATAGGTAGTGGACTGAGTCTTGCCCCCCAAAAAAACCTTAAAAGTAAACAATCTATATACTATATACAATAATTAAAAATACTTGGCATATTAAAAGGATAAAATGTTGATCCTAGTACCAAAAAAAAAAAAAAGATAAAATACTAAAAGAGAAACACACACACACACACACACACACACACACACACACACACACACAGAAAAGTTCTGGGAAACTACTCAAAAACCTATTAGTAGTGACTGCCTCTCCAGATCCAAGTGAAAGTGGAGAAATGGGAAAAGAACATTACTTCTTACTGCTTGGATATATCTGAATTTTTTCCAAACACATGTATAATTTCAAGCACTTTTTAAAAAAATGAAACTCAAGGGCCAGCAATACAGCTCAGTGGCACAGCACCTGCCTGGCAAGTGCAAGGTTGACAGTTTGATCCCTGGGACTAAAAAATGAAAAATTAAAAATGAACTCAACAAAAGATTATCTCGCATTGAATAATAAAGACACAAAGTTCCAGGTAGGTTTTTTTTTTTTTTCAAACATTTACTGAACACAAACACCATTTTTCCTTTTACACAGTAAGATCATTAAGTTTCAGACTAGCTGAACTATTAGGACTGTCAATTGCCATGAAATTAAAAATGATTCCACATATCACACTCAAATAGAAAATACCATGCAATGCATAAATCACTGAGACCTCTGGTGTAGTCAGCAAGTTTACTGTTTATTAAAGTCACATAAATGGTTTGACAAAAGTGCACGATAGAATGACATCACCGGCATGTTATAAATCACAGTGAATTACTAGAACACAACGAAGTAGTCCCTCTCCATGGAGGTCTGCAGAATGGGGTGAATATTATAAATGGTCTTTGCAGTGGGTTAGGCCAGTCAAGTTTTATTCCCCACCATGTACCTCTGAAAGACTGATTAGGAAAGCTGAGGCTTTTCCCCTCATCCCTTCTCCTCTACCAATTAATCACTAAGCAACCACGAAAAGGCCATGCACAAATTTTACAACACTTGATTAAGAATAGATATAAAAAAAAAAACCTGTTTATTGCACTGCCTGGCAAGCTCACACCTTCGCTCCGTGTTCTGATCAGGCCATTCATCACATGACCCCTGAAAGAGAGGCTGTAAGTAATTTAGCAGTATTCACCCCTGCACACACATCAAGAAACACCCTGGTGACCATCGAGTCACTGTCCTTCCCCTACACAGCAACACGAAGGTACACTCCACAAATCTAGGACCAAAAATTAACATGTCACCAATATCAGAGCGGTATCTGTTTCAGGTCCTGCAGCTGGGGGAGGAGGGGGCATGGTACAGCCCAGCCCATCAGGTTGGGGTGAGTCTAACAGAGGCGTCTCAGAAAGCCCTGCAAGGTGGAGACATACTTAAGGAGGCGCCTACTACTCTCAAGAGATGACCTCTAGAACAAAGCCATGCATTTTCAGGGTAGGAATGAACACAGCTTAAAACCCTGTGGACTAAAATTTTTAATAGAGCAAAAAGGCAGAGTTTTGTGTTCTTTAACCTCTTTTAATGTTATAGTCAATAAGAAGCAATAATATTCATCGGTGCACTGACATATCTGGCTGGCCTGAAAAGGAGTATATCAGAGTTTTACAGAAAATCTAAGAGCTAGGCCTTAGACTTCCATCTCTCTACTCACTACACAGCTGGCTGCTTCTAAACCTGCACGCTATAATCCAGGGTCCAGCAACTCACTCCTCATGCTGCCCCACTCCAAAAAAAAAAAAAAAAAAAAAAAAAAAGATTATTCTGCTTGATAATCTAAAGTAGTCTTGTTCACAAAGTAGCTGCCTTAACTACGATGAAAACTTAACAGGATATTGTTCCCCTGACATTTTAATTTGCAGAAACATTTATCAAATAGCATTGGCATTTAGGGAGCTGCTGCTCCCAAGTCCTATTTGACTTCCAACAATGCCATCATACCTAAATCCTCACAATCACCGACCACGGGCTGACTGGCAGGAAAGTGAGATGAAACCCATCTCAGAAACCAGCGAGACCAATGCCTGCCGGTGCCTCCTCTGGTTTGTCTGTCTCAAGTTCCCACAGCAAAGTCCCACAGGCTGCTGGGCTCTGGCCTTCCAGGGTAGACCAGACGAAACAGTGCTGCCAGCTCGGGTCTTATGTGAAAAGGTTACCCCTTCTTATCAACCCACAGGATGGATTTGCTGCCCACTCCTTGACTTCTATAAATGCAAATTCAATTTCACCAACTCCACTGAAAGCAGAAAACCCACCTACATTTCACAGGATTTGTAAATGAAAGCTTCCACCCATGCCTTAGTTACTCCAGATTTATGACAATTCCCAAGCAGGGCACAGAAGTCTTGAGCAAATCTGTAACACTATCAAGGAACAGTCACAATTCAAAGCATAATTCTATTAGTAATAAACATCAAAAGTAAAAGTGGCTACAAAATGAAGAGAGTTTAGTGTTCTCAGTGTGCTGAGACACAGAACTTCACCTTTCTTACCTATTCATTTTCCTTTAAAAAATTATGTTTATGAAAGATTTGGCTAAACACATTTTAAAATAATTCTACAAAAAGCAAATGGAGCCGGGGATTTAGCTCAGTGGCACAAGCGCCTGCCTGGCAAGCGTGAAGTCATGAGTTCAATCCCCAGTACGAGGAAAAAAAAAGCAAATGTAGATCAACTGTTTCAAGAATGGCTTTATCTTTCATAATCAGTATTTGGATTGATACTACAAGACAGAATTAAATCCTTAGCAAGAGAGTGCACAATGTACGACTACACGATAGTTTTTTAAAAATCCAGTTACCATTACCACACTTCATGGTTTGTTCTGCTACTTCACACTTCTCCAACTTGGTCAGTATTTCAGTCAGCAGGACTTACTTTCTTTGACACACTCAGTCTTCCCTTCTCCTAAACTGTCATTAAACTGATGTCTGCATATGTACACATAATTATCCTCATTTTATAAATGAGTAATGTCTAACTCAGTGCTGGCCCTGGGCAGCCAAGGGGATGAAATGTGTTATTAAAACATGCAACATCACCTGATACTTTAAGTTTGGGCATTTAAAAATCATATACATTAAAAATGAAACCAACTGAATACCAACTATCAAGCCCTTCCTCACACTGTTAAATATGCGGACCTTGTAGCCTGAAAGAGTCTGCCCTGAGCCATGAGAAGTGCATTTTTTCTTTCAGGCCACTGAGAGTTGCCAAGAGAAAGGTACAATATTTCCTTGATTCACACCAGGAAGATCATCAGTAATATCCAGATTAGGATGGAGTTTTGGGGGGGGGTTGTTTTGTTTTTTAAGGAAGGGTCTCACTATATAGGTCAGGCTGGCCTCAAACACACAGCAGTCCTCCTGCCTCAGTCTCTTGAGTGCCAGGATTACAGGCTTACACCACTGAACCCAGCCAGAACTCATTTTAACACCTCCCTTTTAGGCCATTCTGAAACCCCTCCTCTTAAAAATCTCAGATTGGGCAAACAGAAATCTATTATCACGATAGAATTTATATCAAAATATTCCTAGTTGAAGCAAGAAGACATACAGTAGAAAGACGGCACCTGTATCATACATCTTGGGGGAAGAAGTTTTTAAAGATTCCCCTTCCACCCAGCAAGGATTTCATTGCATGGGGTTATCTCTATTTAAGGCCCTAGGTGCTGATTTTGGCTTCGTCACTGTTTTAACACTGAGCCAACTGCAACCTTTCTCTTGTATTTTACAAAGCAATATCCTTATGTGAAATGGCAAATTGAAATCTTGTGTTTTAAAGTTTACATCCTTATAATGCGTTTCATTAAAGAAAAAAAGCTGCAGGTCTTCACTTACAGTACCATGCACTATGAGTAGCTAAGGCATTCATTTGGCACTAGACAGAAAATTAGAGATAGCTAGCTTTACTTTCATTATCATTTTTCACATCAATAGAAACAGGTGTGTACCTTTTGTTTGAATTCCTACTATTCTTTAATCACAGAATGCTCTTTTAGATTACAATTTAAAATGTTACTGTTAAAACAAAAAAATGCAAAGACCTCTGTATGGCCTGTTAGAATAACTGACACCTTGGTAGAAAATTTTGCAGCTGCATCAGAATACCTTTCAAGTAGTACTGAGAATTGTATCATCATCAAAATCACTCAATTTTCATATATATATACCAGACTAGTGATTTTCTACCTCTTATAATGGACTACAAAGTGAAAAAAATGTTTTAATATCCTGGCTTCTTTTCATCAGTCATAAACACCTTACTAGGGAAGCACATACAATGCTCTCAGGGAGAAGTGTTTCCAAATTTTAAGATATAACATGAAAAGAAACAGAGAAGGGGACAAAAAGCAAGTGTAGGACTACACTGTGATGACTTGTTTCATAAGAAAACATGGCATTCATCAGGTCTACCCATCTGCGAGGTGAATCAGACGCAGCTGGCTGCAACTTGGATGTATTAGGTTAGAACAGAAACTTTGAAACATTCAAGCCTAAAGGCAGAGCCTCTTGAAATTCTCTGAGAAGGCTGGTTTAAGATTACTACCACTTTGAACACACTATGCGGTACAATGCGGTGACTTTAACTTTCTGAATTTGCAGCTATTATTACACTAGCACTTTGTTCAGGCTACTGGATAACTATATCTTTTTAAGTTCTCTTGCTGGTACAATCTATGGTCTCCTTCCACACACATGGTGGAAGAGTGAAGACTATCACAGTATGCCATGTGCACAACACTTGGACCTCCCACTGCTTTCAGCCTTCCCTGTTGGTTCCTTTTCTTCATGAAATCCTCAAACTGCTGCATGGAAAACAACAGACATAGGTTTAACAGGAATACTACTGTAGGCAGCTGTTTAAAACACTTTGAACTTCAAATCATAAACATTCCTTATTATATAAACAAAGCATGTATATCTGTTTCTTCAAAAAAAGAAAGACCAATAAGAAACTGACAGTCAAACCCCTTAGATTACAGTTACACCTAAACAATGTGGCTTGGTTTAAAGTGGATCTGAAATCAATTATCCAATGAGGTGAGGAGGCCAAAGACAGAACGAGTGGAGGATGGGTTGAGAGGAAGGAGGGTGGAAAGAAAAGCACAATTTATGAACACATAATTCTATTGTCTGTGATTAAAGTACTTTACTTTTTAGCACCACATTAAACGATGTTACATATCTAGTCACTTAATGAAATCCAACAAACTCTTCAAGAGTTCTGGGGATCTGGTCTTGGTAGTTAATGTCATTGGCCCGAACTGCTCGGGCAGCCAGGCACTTGAGACTCATCTTCATTTGAGTTTTAAGCAGTATTTCTGACACCCCGGTTGTACTTTTGTCCAGCGGAGTCTTGTTCTGCTTATTTGTCATGTCGGTGTGAGCGCCTGCCTCCACCAGGCTGATGATGATAGAGTGCAAGGTCAGAAAGTCACTGATGGGCCTGTTGTACTGGACAATGATGTGAAGGGCGCTGTTGCCCTCGTTGTCCACGGCATTCACCTCCGCACCGCAGTCCAGCAAGAGCTTGGTGACTAGTGCATTGGGGAAGCTGCAGACGTCGTTAGTGTGGAAATCGTCAACAGGGGTGTTAGAGTTGACGGCCAGATGCAGCAAGGTGAAACCTTCCCGAGTTCTGGGGTCGAGGTGAATCAGGTTGTAGATCTGCTTGTTAATTTTGCACTGATCTTCCTCACTGCACTGCGTTTTGGTGGAAATGCACACTAGATACAGAAAGGTGTAGAGATTACATTCATAGTTGTCCATGGCACTGTGGACATCCGCATCGGGGATATTTTTTACCCTGTTCATACTCTGTTCTATTTCCAAGACGCTGCATCGCAAGACACACTCTATGTCTGGGGCCTTCACAGTTTCATTCAAATGGATCATCTGTGAGAAAACTTGAGCAAACCGCAGAAGATCCTTATGCGTGTTCCTGTTGCCTTTCTGCCTGAGGTGCAGGGCATGAAGCCACAGCTTGATACACTGCTCGAACTCCATGTTATCTGCATACACAGCGCCCCTGTAAATGATGGGGTGGGAAACATCAATGTTGTCAGCACCTAAAATCCGTTCCCGAACTATAAGGCCTTCCATGTGAAGAGCGTCTCTGTCCTGTCGAATGGACTCCAGTTCCTGAGGGTTTCTACATTCAGTTCTGTTCCCATAGGCATGGATTGGTGGGAGAACCTCTTTTTCAAGAACGTTATCGCCATCTTGAAACCTCTCCAACATGGCTAAGTACAGATAGTGGTACGTCTTCATGATGTCATAGTTCTCACGGTCATTTGCAAAGGAGGCACCCAGGAGTTCCAAAGCTTCAATCCGACTCCTCCGGTCACAGTCGGCATGCGAGAGCAGCAGTTCCACAACGTCAGCTTTACAGCTCTCGGCAGCTACCTTCAAAGGTGTCATCCCGTGGCCGTTCACCACGATCGCAGCTCGCCACTTGATCAGCTCTTTCACAATGTCGATGTGCCCGGCCTCCGCTGCAAAGTGCAGCGCGGTGGCCCCGCAGTGTGCTTTCGCGTTGGGGTCAGCACGCTGTTCCAGAAGGTACCTGACCACGTCCGTATGCCCCTTGTATGCCGCAATCATTAGGCAGGTGTTGTCATACTTGTTGGCGATGCTGATGTTGGCATTGTTCTCCACCAAGTATTTCACAATGTCCAGCCTGCCATCGAAACACGCCGCACGCAGTGGCGTGGAGTTCGTCACTGTGGTGTGGTTCACATTGGCTCCGTGGCTGACTAGAAGTTTAACAACTTCAAAGTGTCCTGCTCCCGCAGCACACCAAAGAGCAGTGGCACCGTCAATGACATACCTAAAGGGGAAAAGAACACACGGTTAGATGATGGAGGCCGCACACTCTACGTGAGTGTAAGGTCACATTTATCGGCATGACCGAGCACTCGTTCTTCAGAACACTAACAAAACATCAGCTTTGGTGAAAGCAAAAACAGGCGACTTCAGCAAAGCACTCTGCGTAGCACTTGTACTTGGTATGAGCACAATAAATGTATTTTTATCATTTTATTTCTTTTTGTTTGTTTGTTTGTTTGTTTTGTCTTTTTCCTTCTTATTGGTACCGGGGATCGAACTCACCACGATTGCCTGCTTGCAAGGCAGGCGCTTATGCCGCTGAGCTAAATCCCCAGCCCCTTAAATTTTTTTTTTTTTTTAAAACCGGTAGCAGGGATCGAACTCACGACTGCCGGCTTGCAAGGCAGGCACTTATGCTGCTGAGCTAAATCCCCAGCCCTATCATTTTATTTCTAATGATACATTAGAAATGTATCACTAAAAAATGTGTACTTTTATTCCTAAAGTACACATTTTTTTAAAAAAAACTAAAAAATCATTTTCTGTAGCAATGGTAATATCTCAGAAAACAGGGAGGAAGCATAAGAAGGCTGTGACACCCTTGCTACTACACTGACACATTGCTCTTAAAACCACAGCTCACTCTGCCCTCAGTCTCCTCAGCAGTCTCCAGGTAACACTTTTGCTCTGGGGAAAGTGACCCCAGATCCTGCATTAACACTGTGTTAGAGTCTGCTCTAAGAAAAAACCATGAAGCAGATAATCTTGCTCCAAAAGTATCTAATTAGCAAATCAAAATTATACTTACTCTACTGTAACAAAGAGTGAAACAGTTACTCTTTCATACAATACAGAGCAACCACATAACCAATGCTGAGCAAATGCTGACAGGGGGATCTAGCCCACATAACACCGCATTTACATAGCTGTCAGCAGGGTTAAAATGAAGGTACCAGTTACTTCTGGGGAGGGTGTGGTCTTAGATGTCAAGATATATTATCTTTGGGGGACATACTGAATCAGCGACTTTATCAAACTCAGACGATCACTTTGTAAAATTTTACGCACTTGCAATGAATGCATTTTCCTGAGTATGTCATACCCATGTTAAAAGGTTTAAATATATATGCATATATGTGTATTTGTATATCCTGTGCATCTATGTGTATCCCTAAAGCAAACCATTATGGGAGGGAATATTAACTGCAAGAAAAAACTAGTAATTTGGAAAAAGTACACAGATTCCCTTACCTGATATGACTGGGCTTTGTGCTTACTGAACATCTTATGCGCGCTGCATCTGCTACTTAACACAAATTCATCTCCTGCTAGTAGGCCAATCTTTTCAAACTTTTCACTTCTAATTTTCCCCTCATCTCAGTTTCCCAGTTTAATCCTACTTACTGACCATAAGACCGAAAAAATAGATGTTTGCTGAATATTCAGGTCTACAAGGCCAGAATCAGTAAGAATATGTGAAAAGTTTAAGAGGAAAAGTCAAAAAGCATCACTCATTGGAGCAACTGAGCAAGAAAATCAAAACTCTCACTAGTGAGCTGTTCACCCTACAAACTTATCTCATAACCCAGGTCAAATCTTATCCCCCATGAAGCAAAAAAAGAAAAAAGGTGCCACTTCACTGTTTCTACGGTGTGAGTGTGGCAGTGCCTCCCATACCCGGATGTTCCCAATGTGCTGGTGTCACGGGGAAGGGACTTTGAGGAGTGTCCCAGCCACGAGGCGCCCCCTCACCAGAGGCAGCAACAACTCCCCCTCCTTCTGGAGGAAACAGCCCTACCAGAAAGGGAACCTTCTGGCACCTTGATTCCTAGACCTTCCAGTCTCCAGAACAGTAAGAAATAAATGTCCACTCTTTATGAAATTATAAGCCTTGGTTATTTTGTTACAGTAGCACAAAAAGGACTAAGACATACAAATACTATAGTTCAATCCCCATTAACCCCATCACAAAAAAGCTACCCTTATTACTTTTGCTAAAGTTAAAATATTTTATAACAAATCAAGCAATTACTTTTTAAATTTCAATTGCTGACACAATGTTTCTAAGCAAAAGTCTCCCCACGAACCACAGTTCGGGGGGGGGGGGGGCGGGGCTGGGGATTTAGCTCAGCGGCATAAGCACCTGCCTTGCAAGCAGGCGGTCGTGAGTTCGATCCCTGGTACCGGAAAAAAGAAAAGAAGAAAAAAAAAAAAAGAACCACAGTTGCCTATGGGGAGGACAGTAACACTGCCTATAAAGAGGCCTGAAGCCAGGCAAGGTGGCACATGCCTGTACTGCCAGCACTCTGGGAGGCTGAAATAGGAGGATGCAAAGTTAAGGCTGTCTCAAGATAAAAACGAAAAAGGGCTGGAAATGTAGTTCAGAAAAGGACCTCACTTTAGTCCCAGTGTGAGGAAAAAAAGGGTGGGGGCTCAAAGATACCAGAAATTTCTTTATGTGGGTGCCAGCCACATGGATACAGATTAGGGGAAAATGTTTATCAAACTGAATACTTAGGGTCTGTGCACTTTACTGTACACAAAATAAACCTTCAAAAAGTTAGAAGCTTTTGGAAGTTTCTTTTAAAATTTTTTTGATGCCATTTGATCTAAGGATAATGCCATTTGGTTTGCTAAGTGGCACAGTGCTTGCTTGCCATGCACAAAACCCTGGATTCAACCCCCAACACCACCAAAAAAAGTGCCACTTTATTGTTCATAGTTTTCTGGCTTTGCTTTTTAATGAAGAACCACTAGGGCTGGAGCTCAGTGGTAGAGTGCTTACCTAGTACATAGACCCTGGGTTCAATCCCCCACACCAGTAAAGTAACATATTACAGCAGTAATGTTTTAATAGTTCTAACTAGCCAGACATGGTGGTGCACGCCTGTGATCCCAGCACTCAGGAGGCTGAGGCAAAAGGATTGCTGCAAGCTCAAGGCTAGGCTGGGCAACACGGAGTTCAAACCTGGTCCGAATTATATAGTGAGACTGTCTCTAAAACAAAAGAAACAAAAAACAAAAATTCTTACTAGACTTTTGCAGTTTGGTTTAATTAAAATTTATTTATTACATCTTTGCCATGATTATATATGAAGCTCAATAAAAATTATTTCACTGTTCAAAACTATCACTTGCAACAATATCAGAAAAATATCAGTATCTAGTAATAAACCAATGAAAAATATGTAAGACTTACACACTAGAAACTACAAAAGAGTCTTGAAAAAAATAGCAGAAAACCTAAAAAACAGAAAAATAATTCATGTTCATGGTTTAGGAGATTCAACAGTGTTCAGATATAAATTTTCCACAAAAATCACCTGTATATTCCATATACTTCAAATCAAAATCCCAGCAGGTTGCGTGTGCGTGTGTGTGGTCACATGTAAGTGCATATATAAAGTGACAAACCAATTCTAAAAAGTACATGGAAATGCAACCAAAGATAATCTTGAAGAAAGAACAAACTTAGAGAACAAGATAATTCAGACAAGTGTCACTAGGACAAGGACAGAACAATATATCAACAGAATAACAACAAAAATTCTCTAGAAATAGACACATGCATAGTCGTTTGATTTACAGCAAAGATAGAAAATACAGTCTTTTGAACAAATACTGCTGAAGCAACTACATAATCTGCATGGGAAATTAGCTCTGACTCCTACCTCACATTATATACAAAAGTTACAGTAATAACTGGGGCATGCTGGTATACACCTGGGAGACAGAGGCAGGACAATCACAAGTTCAAGCCCAGTCCAGGCAACTTAGCAAAACACTGCCTCAAAATTCAAAACATGAAAGAAAAAAAAAAAAAAGGAATTAAAAAGGCAGGGAGTATAACTCAGTGCAAGTGCAAGGTACTGGGTTCAACCCTCAGTAGCATGGGGGGATAAACAGTAATAGTGATTCAGACCTTCAATGTAAAAAGCGAAGACTGGGCTGGGGATTTAGCTCAGCGGCATAAGCACCTGCCTTGCAAGCAGGCGGTCGTGAGTTCGATTCCTGGTACCGATAAAAATGAAAAAGACAAAAAAAAAAAAGCGAAGACTGAGTTTCTTTGGAAAGTCACCCTGGGGGCTGGGGGTTTAGCTCAGCAGCATAAGCACCTGCCTTGAAAGCAGGCAGTCGTAAGTTCGATCCCGGGTACCGATAAAAAGGAAAAAGACAAAAAAAAAAAAAAAAAAAAAGAAAAGTCACCCTACCTTAACAACTTTGGGACTGAACATGATTACTTGAACAGAATCTTAAAATATATGTATATTCACCATAAAAGAAAAAACGCTTATTATACTTTATTAAAATTAAGAATTCTAATTACCGAAAGACATCACTGTATTCTTTTTTGGTCTTTTTGAGACAGGGTCTCTCTATGCAGTTCAGGCTGCCTTTGAGCTCACTTTGTAGCCCAGGCTGGTTTCGAACTTGCAACGATCCTCCTGCTTCAGCCTCCCAAGTGCTGGGATTACAGGCGTGAGCCACCATACCCGGCTTTGACATCACTGTATTCTAAAACTGAGTAAGCAATCCTTTCACCAAGAGAAGTCCCTGCAATAGATACCCATGACAAATTAAAAAAAAAATCAGGCAATGTCTTTTTAAGAAAGAGGTTAAATACTAACAAGTGTACTTCACAAAGTACCCAAATAACCCAATACACAAAAATGTTCAAAATAATTTATCACCAGAGAAATGCAAACTAAAACTAATAGTGACCAGTAACACCCTAGAAGTGACTGCAATGCTGTGTGTGGCCTAGGATGTGAGCGACAGATGCTCTTGTTGCTGGAGGGAACGGCGGCCATGAGGTGAAGTGCTTGGCTATCCATTAGTTACACACATGTCTGCTTCAGGACCTGGGAACTGTACTCCTTGAGATGCCAAAGGGAAATTACTGCAAATGTTCACCAAAAGAAATACACAGGAACGTTCATAACAGTTTTTCATAACAGGTAAACACTGAAAACAACCAAAGTATCCATTAAGAAAAAAATGCAGACTACATAACATTGAAAACAATTATTGATGTAACAACATGCTGCATCTCATGGATACTGGGTTTGGCAAAACAGAGGGCAAAGACACAGAATAAAGGTCTGATTTCATTTAGAGGAAATTCAAGTACAGGTAGAACTAATCTGTGGCAACAGAAGTCCAAATAATCATTACTGGCGCTGGAAGAAGTGACAGAAAGGGACACAGGGAATTAGGGTGATCCCAATAATTTACACACTGACCTAGAAAGCAAGCAAAAAGATGTACACTTTAGATTCATGCACTTTACTAGATATATTATTATTATTAGATTATTAGACACATCCAAAATATGTAATTAAAAGCAAATGAGGCACAAATGACTTTAAAGAAAATAGTTTAAATTAATACAAATATTTTTTTTTTGTCAGTACTGGGGATCGAACTCACGACCATACGCTTGCAAGGCAGGCACTTATGCCACTGAGCTAAATCCCCAGGCCTGAATACAAATAATTTATATCAAATACATTCAATGTGTCAAGCACTACAATTACTGCTTAATATGCAATATATCTCATTTAATCCTCAAAACCACCTCACACAAGTAGATACTAATACTACAGAATAGGGCCTGTAGGTTTATAGGAGATCAAATAAACGAAAGTATGTGAGGGGCCAAGGGTGTTGCTCAGCGAGGATATTGCCTGGCAAGCACAAGGTTGAGTTCAATCTCTGGTACAAAAAAAAAAAAAAAGTACTTCGAGTACTATTAAGTGCACCAAATGGAAGGAAGGACAGTATCATGGTTCAAAGATTTGTTTCCATTTACAGGGTATTAGGCCAGGGATATAGCTTAGTGGTAAAAGTGCCTGCCTGATAAGTGCAAGATCCTGAGTTCAATTCCTGATACAAAAAAAAAAAAAAAAAAAAAAACACCATTTTGAATATTTTTTCAAACTGATTATTAATGTCACCTATCAAATAAATACATACATAACATATGGTTATATTGTTAGGGTTAACAACGTTTCCTTGTACTGGTTTTCAAGACTATGAAAGTCTTAACATTATATGAGTCTAGACAATCTAAAACTCAAGAAATGTTATCCTAAAATAGCACTCGTGTACATTAGTAATTAAGATTTACCCTTTTAAAGATGAAAAATGAGACAAAAGTTACAATATATTTCTGACTTCAAACTTTAAAAATCTGATATAAAAGTAAAAAGTAAATTACAAATTTGTACTTCACTTGGTTTTTGGTATCAAGACTCAATGACGACCTCCTGCATGCTAGGCAAGAACTCTCCACCCACCCCACACTGAGCTATACCCTTAGTCCCTGCTTTTAGTTTTTATTACAGACTATTTGGTTAGGTTAATATTTTTCTTGGTATAGTCTAATAACTTCCATTATTTTCCTTTGATGACAGAAGCCTCACAAAAGTGACAATTACCTGCTAGCCATGAGGGTGACACCTATAATTCTAGCTACTCAAGAAGCTGAAACGGGACAATCACAAGTTTGAGGCCAGCCTGGGTAATTTATAAACCTATCTATAATATTCTGCTGTCTATAAAATCTAGTCAATTGATAAGACTATGTTGTTTTGAAGCAAGATACTAAATGCATTTAACCTATTATAAAGATGTAGTGAGTCTACTGAGATATTTACTAAGTCCCATGAAAGAAACACCATATAAAACAGTGACCTTTCTAGTCTCAGTCAAATGCAGCGCAAATTCTCTATTATATGTCTCATAGGGCCGAGGATTTAGCTCAGCGGCATAAGCGGCTGTGTGGTGAGCCTGCAGTCATGAGTTCGATCCCCAAAGAAACAAAAAAGGATAAAATCAGTGTATGTTTCGTAATTTAAAAACACATAATCTGGGGCTGGGGATTTAGCTCAGCGGCATAAGCGCCTGCCTTGCAAGCAGGCAGTCGTGAGTTCAATCCCCGGTACCAATAAAAAGGAAAAAGACAAAAAAAAAAAAAAACAAACAAACACGTAATTTGATATTCACCTGGTCAAACAAAAAGTGCAACAGACCACAGAAAGTTTTCACAATAAGACATAACATTTCTCATGTTTGTTATCCAGTTACTTAGGAGGCTAAGGCAGGAGGATGCAAGTTCAAGGACACAACCTGGGCAACTTAAGAGACGCTGTCTCAAAATAAAACATAAAAAGGGCAGGGGATGTTGCTCAGTGATACATGTTGCCAAGCACATATGAAGACTGTGTTCAATCCTTAATATCACAGAGGGTTAGGGCAGCTGCAGGCCAGGTGTGATGGTGCACACCTGAGATCCCAGTACTTGGAAGCCTGAAGCAGGGGAATCTAGAGTTCAAGGGCAGCCTAGAACACACAGGGAGACCACCAAAAGAGAGACAGACAGACAGACAGACAGAGACAGAGAGAGACAGAGAAAGAATGAAAACACATCACAAAGCTGAATTCATTTCTTGGTTCAATCTGAAATGGAAACACCTGATTCAAGCATTTGAACTGGAAATAAAAACTCATTTAGTCTATAAAATCAGCCCTTTAACCAAACGTCTTAAAATCACTTACTGGCTCAAATGTATCTCCTTAAAATATGTATGTCCGATGACTTTCCGGTAACAAAGTATATATAGAAATGACCTCAAAGAGCAACTTCCTCAAAGGCTTCCCAAATGAAGTTGGGTGTGGGGCTCCCACACACCTTCCCAGGCCTGCGCACCAGCACTGTGGGGAGGAGGGACTCTGCACAACAAGCCCAGCCCGGCACCACAGCCGCCAACCTCATATAGAACCACCTCCGTACACTGCAGCCTGGCCCGCCGCAGCATTCCGGGGTGGTAGGCCATCTCCCCTTCGTTCTCGGCCACACATCTGGAGCAGCTGCCCCTCTCCAGCTGAAGGTGCTTTCACTCCCCTGATGTGATTTTCCTGCCCACTTACCTAGGTGAGTTCTGGTATGCAGGTGTGAGCCAGAAGGAAAATAATCTCAAATAATGCTTCTAAAAACTGTAAAGACAGACTCCGCTCAACGTGAGACTTCATGGAATGAAGGCCTCTTTCCTGAGACCCTATTTTAAACTGAGTTTCTAAGGTACTCAGTTTTTAGTTTCCTAAGGTACACAGACTTTTCTTTGAAAGTGGTTTTAAGGGCTGGGGTGTAGTTCAGTGGTAGAGTTCTTGCCCAGCATATGTGAGGCCCTGGGTTTGATCCCCAGAACCCTCCACCCCACAACTACATGAAAACAGTAGCTATTCTGATGTCTCTCTCATACACACACATACACATATACAACACATCAAATAATTACACAGACATAGATGCATGAGAGGAAGTTAAGAAGACATACTAAAAATAAATACAAAGCAAGTAAGAGACATTTTAAATAAAAATATTAACAATAATATGGTGAATAATTTGGCCCAAGCTTGTAATGCTGATATGCAAATAACTTAAAATTAGAAACACTAATCTACCTCAGCACACAGAGACAACCTGTCAGGACCTGCCTGGCCATTGGGCTCAAATGCCAATGAATCTAAGGTAGAGGGACCAGCTAGTGTTCAAGGCCACTGCAAGGCAGGGAGGTGGGATAGGGTAGGAGCACCTGCCTCACACACTGGAGGCCCTGGGTTCCACTCCCAGCACCACAAAACCAAAAAGCCCTAAGGGGTGAGTGTGCTTCACACTGTAAACAATGCTCAGGCTGCCACTGTCCACATCTACAAGGAGGGCAAAGTGCAACCGTCACATTTGCAAGTAATGATATTTCCCTAGTTCTAAAATGCCAAACTCATTGAGATAAATATTAGCACAGTTTCACATTCTGGTATGGGTAGGCAGCCAGGTGCCCATAAATTTCAATCCTCTTTTATTAATTGGTAAGCTCCCCACAAGCAGAAAGCTCACATTTCTTCGTATACTTAACAGAAATGTGACATAGGGTTAGGACCCCTCTAGGCATTTAATAAATAAAATGAAAACTGAACTACTCTAACATAACTGCTAATAGTCATAATTGTAATAATCCATACACTTAGATTCTAAGGCACCAAGCTGAAAATTGCAAAACTGCAGTTTATCAGTTTCTTGCTTGGTATTTTATACAAGGGCCATCACAATCTGATCTCCCCTCCTCTGTTCAGTCTCCCACAGCCTCTTTCCTAACTGTCCCAGTTTGAATCTCTTCTTTCGATAGCACTGAAACGCCTGTCATGGCAAGTACACCAGGCCACTGTCCCTCTTCCTTTTGTTGCCTTTTAAACCCACCTCAGATGTCACCTCTGTGACGCCTTCCCCTACTGTCTCACGCACAGCTTATTATTCCCCCTCCTTCTGTCCTCCCTCACTAGTCCAGAAGATTTCCACCCGTTTAAATGTCACAGCACCCACCATTACTCATTCATGTGTCTCCTCTCCCCCCACCATTGCCCTCCACTGTGGGAACACTATGTCACTCATCACTGCACACCAACTCCTATCACTGAACCTAGCACACAGTAGGTGTTCAACAAATGTTTGCTCACTGAATCTCATAATTTCTTTTCTTTTCAAACTCACGACCTAGTGATGCCAGACAGGTGCTTATGCCGCTAAGCCAAATCCCCGGCTGAATCCCATAATTTCACTGGCCAGTACGAAATATTGGACCAGGTAAAACACTAAACAGGCTCAATTCTAGTTATTCTGGGTTCTTTAACCACCTGATAGTAGCTTTTTCTGACGATCTAAGAAGACAGCAAGAAGCAAGGCCTTTCGAGGTTCTTTAGAGATCTTTGTCCTCTCCCAAGGATTCTCCCTTATCCACACAGACCTCAGCAAATTTCTTAATTCCCCACAGCTGCTGTTGCAGATTCATATCTTAGTGGATACGGGTACCGGCACAGCTGAAAAGGTACTGAGGTTCAGAGGTCACTCTGGCTTCACTCCTCCTCTAGGTGCAGGTAAGGCTGTCAGAATACAGGAAGTTAGGATACTGAAGCCAGCCAGTTAGGGAAGCAAACAAGAACTGGGTTGCCATGCACCCAAGGCTGATACCTAATTAAAATATAACACTCAAAAACATTTCCCACTCATCTAAACCAAACTAAAAAGCTTTTATTATTATATCAGCTAAAATTTAACATTGTCCTTGACATCTTTTAAAAAAAAAAAATGCTTTTTCAATCAGGTTTTAGCCAGGAAGGTTTTAAGCACGAAAACTAAAGGTACTTTTGTCTGGAGGCCACCTACCTCAAAAGAAAATGCTAAAATAGTTATGTATTGGCAGGAATCAAGAAAAACAAATACAATCAAGGAAGCAAACCCTTTATCAGCTGTAATCTGTATGACATTTCATAATCCTTCAGCACAGAAAAAAGGATAAGGTCAAAACTGACAATTCCGTGTCCAACTCAAAGGACAGATTTTAAATTATAGCAACATGGTTTTTTGAAATCCCCACCTTGAATAACAAACGATCAAGCCTCCAAACAACATAGCAGTATAACATGTAATTACAATGGCATCATCTTCTACATCAGATCTGGAGCCACTTCCACAAATATCTACCCCTCAAGGTGGAAAGCCTCAGAATTATGTCTGAAGATGTTTGACTGACCTCTTGAGAATCCCCCAAAAGGCTACAGCTGCTAGTCGTTCTGGGGGCCTATTTTTACCTAACAGCCTCTGCAAGCTTCTAAACATTTACCAGCCAACTCTCCAGTACGGGAGAGAGCTAGTGTCCAAATAACTCGGCAGAGATCTTCAATTTTAATTGCTGACCTCGTTAATTTCTGGTCTCGGTAACGACACCCAATACTGATGATACAAGCTAAAACCTGTGAAAGCAACCGCCCTTCCACTCTGCTGGTTCACGATCCAGTAAACCCACCTAGAGGGAAATAAGGGGCAGGCCGATGTGGATGGGCAGCAAAAAGTGGAAGAGAGCGTTCGCTTTGGCAAATGAAGTGGGCATAGGTGGGACTGCACGGGGTACGAAAGGAGGCGTGCGTATCCACATGGAGGGACCGAAGGAGGGAGGGACCCGTGGAAGCTGGAGTCCGAAGGTACCTACCCGTCGAAGCGGACAGTGCCAGTCTGCTGGGTCTGCACTCGGTAATGCTCTAACAGCAAGCGCACCACCTTGGCATGCCCGTTGCGTGCTGCGATGATGAGGGGCGTGGAGCGCTGCCCTCCCTGCTGGCTTACATAGCCAAGCAGGTAGCGGATGTCGCTTTCAGACCGGTTGAGCAGAAGGGCGGCCAGAGTCAGCACCTTGCCCTCACTGGCCGCCTTGTACACATAGCCAGCCAGGCCCTCCATGGCCGCCGCCAACTCCAACACCCGTTTGGTCGCCACCGCTGCCGCCGCCTTGCGCCCCCGGAGGCCGCGTCCGCCAGCGCTTCAGAGTCGGGCCCTCCTGGCCCATTCAACAGGGAGCCGCCGCCGCCGCCGCCGCCGCGCCCAGGCAGCAGCGCGGCCCGAGGAGGGCGGAGACGCGGGGGTGGCCGAGGGCCGCACGGGGCAAGTCCGCAACCAGCCCGGGCAGGGAGGAGCGCGGTCAGGGCCGCCCCCAAGGCCCCAAGCTCGGGCCCTGGGCCGAGGGCACCTCCATATGGCCGCCGCCCCGGGCCTTGCGCCGGACCCCTCCTTCCTGCAGGCTGCGACAGGCGCGTGCCCGAGCTACGGGTCGCCAGCGGGGTCCGAGAAGGGCCGCGCGCGCCTCGCCCGACCCGGTCTGAGGCCTGAAACTGCCTCCGCCTCGCCTCCGCCTCCGCCGTCCCTGGCTGGAGGAAATCCGCCGGCGCTCGCCCACCGCAGCGCTGAAGTTCTAGGTGCTTTCCTGCGCAGGATTTTGGGGGAGCCTTCGCTTGGCTGGCCCGGGGAATTGCGGAAGGCTCTGGCCAGAGCAGCGCCGGAACTTGGGGCGGGAAGAGGCGCAAGAGAGTCGCCAGCCTGGGCCAGGAGGGGCGGAGAGAGCCGGAGGAGCGGGTAAGTGTGCTGTGTCTCCTCCTAAGTTGTCCTGCTGACGTGCGAGGCCCGGGCGAACAAAGGTTCCGCTGCGTGGAGGTGGCAGCCCCAGGAGCCTCCTCGGCGCCCCCACAGGACCCTGGGGTTGCCTAGGCAGGGACGCGTGTCGAGCGACGGCGCTGAACCCGTAGGCTAGAGAGCCCACCCAACTTTATTCCGGACAGTGCACACCTTGATGCGAACTCAGCGTGGGGTGGGGTGCACCCTCCGGTTCCGCTTTAGGAAAAAGGGGGCATCCTCGAGCCCCCCAAATGTGACAAGGCATCAGAGTCTCTGCACCAGGTTCTGAAGAGGGCGCAGGAGTTCGGCCTGGCCTCCCTGGGGAGGGAATCAGTGTGTGGGGAAGATAGGGAGCCCGGAGAGCCAGGCATCCTGGGAAGGAAAGAGGGAGTACCATGGTCACACAGCAGGTCTCTAATGCTCAGCACCTCCTCTCTCTTAGTCCTCACAAGATTGTTACTAGGGTGTGAAAGGGTCGTTTAACCGGCTAATACTACAAACCTAGTGTGCGTCAGGCTCTGCTTAGTACTAGGGATTGGGTTAAGTGAGCTGCTCTCTTCTGGCCAGGAACTTTTGTTGGGAACTTGCCCAGGGGAAAGCAAACAAGAAAACAAATGACAGCCGAGCCCAATTTACCTAGTGCCTTTGCAATCGCTATGCAGGTAACGAAACAGAGTAATGGAAGTGTGGGCAGCGGGACTAATTTAGTTTGGGTGGTCAGACAAAACCTTCCTGATAGGTGACAAGAACAGAGGTGACTGTGGCAAGAGCTGACACCCAGCCCCTGACAGAGACAACAGCCTGTGGCCCAGAAAGGTTGGTATGGCAGCAGCACAGCCCCCCACAGGGAGACAGCTGAGAACGAGAGTCAGCAGCAGGCAAGTCATGTTAGGGCCCAGGGACCCATAGCAAAGGGGTTTAAATTGTACTCTGCCACGGGCCCACTTGAAGAGTTTTGAGCAGGAAAGTGACAAGGTACTATTTGTTCTGAAAAAGATCACCATGAGGCAGGTGTAGTGGCACATGTGTGTGATCCCCGCATTCAGGAGGCAGCAGGAGGATTGCTGTGAGTTTGAGGCCAGCCAGGGCTACAGAGTGAGACTGTATCAAAAAGCTAAAGAGAAAACAGAACAAAAACATTCATGATGGTCACTGTGCACAAGATACTGTGCAAAATAAAAAATGGGCCAGGCAGGAGGAGAGGCTTAGATCAGGATGGCAGGATGGAATAGAGGAGGTGGAGCTCCTGGGGATGTCACAGCATGGAAGTTACTTCCTCGTCACCGCCCCGCCCTCAAAGGACAACATCTCCCTAATGGACAAAATATATGTACTTGACTTCAAGGAACAAGTCTGTGCTCCACAGTATCATAAATTACTAGACCCCACCCTTAGCATCCTGAGAGATGAGGATGTCACCCCCTATCCCAGAACTCCTGGAGGGGTTGTGGGCCACTTCTCCTATCACTCCCATTCCACGGCAGATCCCTACACAAATGGTGGGTCTTCGCCCCTTACCATAACAAACAAAAAACAACCTTGGAAGCAATGGCTGACAATGAGATTCACTGTCTGTATCTCTGAAACACTGGTAGGCAAAGGGGACTCTGGCTGGTTTTCATCTGAAGCTTCAAAGGTGTAAGAAGATCCAGTTTCTGATGTGTTACCCCAGGCTCCTTGGCTTCTGGAGGCTTAGAAGGAACACACTCACATAGTGATCTGGGGATTTCAGATTCTGGCTCCCTTCTCTAGACTTCTGGCTCTCTCCATCTCCCTGCCCTACACCCCTTCCTGTGCCAGTTACCTGGGCACAGAGAAGCACCTTCAGGCCTCCGGCCTCCCTAGCAGACCTCACAGCCATCTGCCCACTAATCTCTGTATCATTCTCTTCCCATCCAACTTTTGAAGATGATTTGAAAGTCCAGATACAGACCTCTTGGTCCAGTTTTGTTTTCTGAGGAGACCATGGGAGGGATGTAAAAGGAATGGACATGTGTTATGTACATGTATCAACTCCCCACAATAAATGTAATTTAATCATCACATAATGCAAACATATACAAATTAGAATTTTGAAAAATTTAAATAAAAGACCTGATTTGTTCAGACATTCACTGCTCACAAACAGACTGACTTCTTCCTCCAATTGTCCTCCTCACCTCTTGATTGGTGTCACTGGATAGATGCTTGGAGGGGTAACTAGACCAAGAGCCATACTCCTGAGGGGTTCAGAACTCGGAAGCATGGGCTCTACCCCCAGAAGAGAATAAGCGCCTGCCCCAGCCACCAGCGTCAGGGCCCTGGGCTGCTGTTTCTTCTGTATTTATCAGTTGCTGAGTACAGGGTTCTGGGCTCCCTTGGTTGCTCAACAGCCATTGGCCAATCGCAGACCATTTAGTTGCCTCTATTTACCTGGCCTTGGAAGATGATATTTCTGTGGTCAGGTTGGGCAAATCTGGAGAGCAGAAATGTAAACAGGGCAAGGCTGCTTTTCCAAAGGCCAAAGCCCAGAAATAGTTCCTTGTGCCTCCAATGTATTGTCCACTCCCTGTATAGAAAATCACTGAGCGAATGGAAAATGTCACGACATAACTATAAGCTAGAACCTGAGAGAAACAGATTTGCTGGTGGTGATGAACTGTACACGGCACCTGGACAAAGGTAGGATGCTGGTCTCCCCCAGCCCTGTGCTTCTGAGGGTTCGTGGTGGCCAATGAGCAGAACTGGCTGGACCTTTACCTTTCACAGTGCGCACCTTCTTCCAAGCTAGGATGACCGAGCCTTACAGCTCTGCGACAGTGAGTTTCTCAGATCTGATAGAGAGGACACGCAAATGTCACATTTCAAGCACCAGTAAAGACACAAATTTGCATCGTATTACCTTCCCACACTGTAAAGGAAGAGGAGGAGCCCAGTATTGAATAGATCCAACTTGGATGCCCATACCTACAATCTAGGTATGTGGCTGTGGGGAAGTTTCTTCAGCAGTATAGTAGGGTTCAGGGCTGCGTGATGGGGCTTTGCAAGCTCCTTGGCCTCCCTTGGTCCTAGGAAGGTCAGACTAGTTTCCTTCCTCACTCCCACCCTGGCAGTCTCCTTTCGATCGTGCCATGAATCTGCTCTTTGAGGACTCTACACCCCATTTGCATTCTCTCTGCAGAAGGTGAATCAATCCCCAGTATACAGGAGCTAGGCAGGCTAATCAACAAATGTTCAAAAATTCCAAGAAGGCCAGGTTTGGTGGCGCACACCTGTAAAAGAAGCTGAGCAGGAGGATCATTGTGAATTCGAGGCCAACCTGAGCCACAAAGTGAGTTCAGGACCAGCCTGAACTAACTACATAGCGAAACCTTGTCTCTAAAGACAAAAAAAAAAAAAAAAAAAATCAACAAAACTACCAAAGAAAGATGTCACTGATCAGGGTGACAAAAGAATCAAGGTGTTAGGGCCCAGCTTCCTGGTAATGATAACATAGTCAGGGATCATTGCTACAGGGACAGGGAAAGCAGTGGAATCCTGGGCCTTTACCAGCTGTTCCTTAAAAGCATGATGTGTGCCTTCTCCCAGGACAGCCAGGGGCTTAGACGTCAGTTTTGCTAGGGCTGGGGATGCAGTTCAGCAGCAGCCTGGCAAGTACAGTGTCCTGAGTTCAATTCTTGATACCATTCCCCCAAAAGAAAGTCAGTTTTGCTCCAAACCATGACCTTAACTTGGGCCTTCAGATGCCCAATAGATAACTAAAAGCAGAAGAAAGTTTGACTTTCATCCTTCGTTGCTATAAATCTTGGGTCAAATCTCCCCTTAACGGCACATAGATGCCAGTTATTTAGGGAGTATCCGTCTAAAAGTTGGCAAATCAAAGTTGAGTAGCCCTGAGTCTTCCTCCAAGACTGAGGACACTGAGGCGGTTTATGGGGACATCCAGCCACACTTAGCCACTGTCTTGAACCTGTCACCACCTGGATTCCAAGGAAGGCAGAGCCCAAATGACCGAGACCCCCTGAGAAAGACGGTCCTTTCCTAGAAGGGAAACTGTCCCTCGGCCATAAAGATTCTAGAACCATGACACCAGGCTGAGATAATCATGACCAACTAGACCCTAGGCCACCTTGAAAAGCTGGCCTCCCTCCCACCTTTGGGGGTGAGCCAGTCTGAACCCCTAAACCAAGCAAGCCTCCGGCTGCCCAGGCTGGAGTCCTTTCCTATCTTCCCTCTAACTTTCCAATTCCAGCTTCTTTTTCCTGTAGATTTATGATTTTGTTTTAATTTCCATTATTCCTAAAAGTGAGGGCCCAAGCTAGGAGGCAACAGGCCTGCCAGAAAACAGTTTGAAGCAGCACGTCTGCCGGGTTCTGACCTTGGGTTCCCTAGACCACAGCACCAGGCAGGCGTCCTGGGACACTGCCTGAGGTCACACGGACCAGCTCCCGCTGGCTGCTTACCTGTGCCTGGCAACATGGCAACCACTCTACGTGGATCAGCATCGGAAATCTACAGAAGTCTCGGAAGCCTGCGCCAAGGCCACTCCTGGGTGCTGACCACAGGGAGTGTTAAAAAATTTGCCCAGCTGGGGCTGGGGATTTAGCTCAGTGGCATAAGCACCTGCCTTGCAAGCAGGCGGTCATGAGTTCGATCCCCAATACCGATAAAAAGAAAAAAAATTTTGCAAAAAAAAAATTTACCCAGCTGTCTGACCTCTGCCCAGGTGGCTGCCACCCTCCGGTCCCTCCCTTTAGCCCCTGTCTGCTGTCCCCGCCCATCCTGCCCTTCACAGTTCGGATGCCCCCTGTCCATGCCCAGCATCCTGGTCGCTTCACGTGGGCCCTGGTGCCAGTTGCCAGTCATCTATCCTGTGCTGTGGGGGGTGCTGTCCAGGGACACTGTCCAGGGGCACAGTTCCGAAGCCAAGCCACAGCAACCTCCTCCACTTTATGCTTGGCTTGGAAGCCACTATTTTTTCT